CACGAGCACTTTATAGATATTCATTTATCTTCAGTAAACTCAGTACAGCAGAGAGAGACTGTATTCATCAGCAAGGCCAACCATCAGTGATGCCCAGTTATTGTAGATCTGGATGCATCATTTGAAGCCAGTGACTTCAGTATATAGTAGTATTGATTAAACAGTTAAGTAGTATTATTGAATAGTATCACTTTCACTTACTGCATGTTATGTGTGCATTTGTATATATTTTGTGAATGGTTTGTCAAATTACCTTTTATAGATGTTCTGTTTCATTGATTCATTTTCAGGCATGTATGTAAATACTGTATCTTACATGTACAGATTTGTATTGTGTTATATCCTGAGTAATCTCCCTTGTATGCCAGTGTGGTATGTGGCAATATATGTCACCTCACAGTGAAGCATCTCATCGTCCTTAATGACACAGTATGCATGACCAGGTATTGGTTATCTTTCATTGTACCAGAGTATGTGTTAAGTTTAAGCATGCAAACTATAATAGGCATGAGGAAATTTAAACCACTTGTAATGTGATCTTCTCTGTTTGTTTCTTGTTTTAAGGATCTGCTGACCGCAAACTCTATAGTATTTAATGCTGAAAATTTTACAAGGATTTTAATCCCATGACCTAAATATTTGTGAAAAAACACTTTTGATAATGGAGAGTAGAAAGTAACTTATTAAAAGATTTTTCCTTACACTGTTTATTGTTTTTATAGCTATATACATATATAGTAATTTTTTGGTTTGAACATCCACCCTATTTTTCTTTCATTGAAAAGGTATATGCATAAACCAATTTATGACAATTACCCATACATGCAAACCTTGTAGTATCAATAGGTGGAGGTGAACTTGAGCGGCTATTTCGCAAATATCAATCACCATTTTGTTAATATTCTGTGTTTGGACAGCCTTGCTTAGTCCTTTTTAGACTCATCAACTTTGTCCTTTTGAGACTCATCACTGTTTCTTTAGCAATAACGGTTTCAGTGTACATGGGTCCTTTACTTGCCCGTGACCAACAGATTTTCTCGAAAGTCATGACAATGAAAGAATCTGGCTCCTCATAACAATCATGCTCCGATTTTAAGTCATGAAATTCTAAATGTATGGATATGCTGTTAAAAAAGTTTGAAAATCTTTGGAGGATTAAACTCTATTCTGTGTTTATGAACTTGCTGAATAAGGGAGATAACCATGAGACTGAAATGGGATTCATGAGTCATTATAATGTGTTCTCTCTTTTCTATATTTGTTTCTAACATATCATATTTGGTCTACTTCCTAAAATTCTTGATATTTTGTTGGTTGTTCAGTTTTAGTTTTACTTAAACCCTGAAAGTTTACGGCACTACTAACGGACACAGTGCCGAGGTGCTGGTTAATCAGAAGCTGAATGCCCATATTTTGATCTGAATAGACTACTCTCACTTGCTGAAGGAAGAATTTTTTCATCGAATTCATTGTCTAAGGGGGTTAATTTCATTGTAATTAAAAGAATGTTTGAAAATGTAAATGAGGAAATGAACAATATAGAACAAACTTTATGGATAACAACTTCTTTTATTCGTGAGTGCGACGTTTCGATACAGATTCTTGTACCGTTGTCAAGCAAGCACGAAGGAAATGAGGAAATGAAGTTAAACCATTAAGATTCACTTTGATCTATAAATGCTTGTGTTGATTAAGTTTATTTTGGTTAAATTATTTTATTGTAAATATAATTTGCCAAACATTGCCATTGCCATTGTTGAAGCATTGCATCAAAAGTTATAATCGCTCCTGTGGATGCCTTTCAGATATGTGTGCTAATTATAATATCCATTGCACTCTATGTAACCAGCATGGCTGGTGTCAGTATTGGAAATATTCATGAACATGAGACCATTGTTTAGAGCTACTTCTTGCTGGCTCTTAACTGGACAACAAACAGTAGAGTTGACTTTGTCCTCAGAGCCTTTGAACACAAGAAACTTGTCCTACCTGCTTCTAAATGCCACTCAAAGAAGTTGTCCAACATGAGACACTTGATACCAATTTACTGCTATAGTCTAATCAAGGACACTGGCAGGATTACTACCCTTGTCCCTTGAGTTGATGGACAACCGACAGAAGCGACCAAGCTGCCAAACTGCTGCATGCCTCCCATTGCTGGATCAAGATTTCCATGGTAGAATTGTATGAAGTTGTTATGAACATGTATGTTGTAGTCACTTGCAGATCTGATTATTCCTGAGATTACTGGTAGGATTACTGATTAATGTGCTTCCATAGTTTGCTTTAAGAGATTCCACTCCAGAATGCTTTAAGGCAGTTCATGTTGTGGTTGACTTCATAGATATCATTAATAAAAATGTAATAATTTCATGTAGCCTTTTAAGAAATCCCAGTGGTAAAACTGGATATGAACTTCTCTATGTTTTTGATAAATATGTCAACGCATTTGTTACATAATGTATGCTTTAATGGGTAATCAAAACTACACCTTTGTCCTTCAAGTTACCCAAGATGGTACTGACAAGAATTACACTATAGTATCACTCTTCCAATAATTTTGGGTATGTGGATGTCTTAGAATGAAAGTCACAGCATTACTGCCTTGACTAACCCTTTTTCCACATGCTAATACCTGTTCAACAATGGTGCCAAAATATCCCAAATGACCACAAGGATATTTTTCACCAAGGATGGAAGTGGTTCTCAAAGCACATGGGGCCTGCAATCAAGGATGTATTTCTCCATTGTTCTTTGACTTAAATGGCACAAATACCATAAACCACTTATTTGTACATTCACTTATCTGTATATTGTGATTATCTGTATCAAGGTTTTTGTTTTCCTCAATTGCCTAACTGTGCACCCATGCAGAATAAATGATAAAGATTTCACATCATATGTGGTTTTGTTATTGCTGTGAATCCTGAACAGCCAAGCAGTGATCCTAATGCATCACTACACAAGCACAGGGCAGTATACTGTTGGACACCACACTGGGCAATATCCCAGTTATACAACAGCCTGCAAATAGTCGTCCATGTCTGGGTAGTGTTGACGCAATCAACCAACTTGTTAACCTATCACCCAATACATACACCAGTCACTTCAAACAGGCGTTGATGAGGGTCATTTGTAACCTAATACTCACAGGGGTAATAGAGGTGAGGTGAAATTGGGTTTAACGTCGTGCTTGAGAATATTTCGCTCATATGACGACGTGCATGCGTGTGTATGTGTATGTGCGGCTGCTTGTACTATCCCAGACGTAAGCTGGTTTTATAGTGCTAGCCCACTGAGATACCACGCAGCAGTGAAGCATGAATACCCCACTCAGACACATTATACTGACTCCGAGCCGACCAGTCCTTGTTGTACCCATTAATGCCGAACACCAGTCAGGGACCAACAAGTACCATATTTTAACATTTTTTTGGTATGACGCGGTCGGGGATCGAACCCACAACCTTCCGCTCTCCGGGCGGACGCTCTAACCACTACACCACGGAGGCGGTCCACAGGGGTAATAGACTGTAAACATGGTTACCAGACAGTTTGGTAAACCTTTCTATAATATGTTAATATTTATAGTACACTATTCCACTCAAGTTAATGCCCATGGCACAGCATTATTATAACCCCGTTCAATAGATCAGTGTTCACTCAGTTTTCATTCTCAGCTCCCTGGGGAGTATACAACAGTCATATTACCATCCCGTCCTAACGCATACCAAGTCACTGCCAGGCGAACAGAGGAATTTCCAAACTAAGTCACTTACCCAATGAGACCCCAATATATGCTTCATGTGCAGTGTAGGGCAGGACTAAAGCCCATGAAACTCTCAGGAGTCCAGCTGCCACATTCACCATACAACTATTCTCCTGACATACAACACAAATTTGTTGTGACTGAAAGTTGATTTATGTTACTGTCAGTAATATTCCAGCTGTGTTAGTGTTGACCAGTGGTTGATACAATGAGCAATTGTTGAAGTCCTCTGGGTATGCTGAGGGAGTGAATTTGGTGCAGATTAACACCCTGTAACTGCCTAATATTAGTTGGCATAAGTGAGGAACTGAGACTGATTCTGCTCCCAAATCATCACATGGTTAATTATAGTCTGTGAATCAACTGTATTGCTATAATGTGCGATTCCTTTCAGTTGTATAAATGTGTAAGATGTGATATGTAATGTAGTAATGCAAATTTTGGGGGCAGCCTCTTGGTGGAAATGACATATGTATAAGTGAGTGAGTTTTGTTTTACGCCATTTTCGCAGCATTCCAGCACTATCACTGCGGGGACACCAGAAATGGGCTTCACACATGGTACCCATGTGGGGAATCGAACCCGAGTCTTCTGTGTGACAAGTGAACGCTTTAACCACTAGGCTACAATACCACCCCAGAGATGTATAAGGATTCTGGGTTGAAACTCAGCAACAACAATGAGCGAGTGAGTTTAGTTTTACACCGCACTCAGCAATATTCCAGCTATATGGCGGCAGTCTGTAAATAATCGAGTCTGGACCAGACAATCCACTGATCAACAGCATAAGCATCGATCTGCGCAATTGGGGACTGATGACATGTGTCAACCATGTTAGCGAGCCTGACCACCCGATCCCGTTAATCACCTCTTACAACAAGTATGGGTTACTGAAGATCAATATTCTAACCCGGACCTTCGCTGGATCAGCAACAACAAACACAGGCTGTAAGAGGTGACTAAATGGATGGTATATATGTCTTGGTGCCTATTTTTTTAAGGTGTGCCAACTTATTGAAAGTCAAAAGGTAATTGCAAAACCTACCGTAATAATCTAAATCCACCTCCTACCTTGGAACTTGCCTAGACCAATGTTCATAATATAAATCACTGGCTTGTCTAGTCCAGACTTTACTATTAACCAGACCACTGTTGTATAGCCGGACTACTGCTGACAGTTGAATAACAAACACACATGATGATTAATACTGCACACAACACAACAAACGTATCCATCAGAACTTTTAATTTACATCTCAGTAAGGATTTCTGAACATTAACCACAAAATGTCACACTCTCGTTCCTTTCTTTCTAGAGGTACACTGAAGGAGATTTTCTTCTAAAGTTGTTAGGTAGTTAATGAGGAGGATCAAAGTGGGTGTCTGAAAAGAAAAACAGTCAATGTCATTTCAGGGATATGTAAGCTGACAATCAAAATTCTGCAGTAGTTATTTTCACTCTGACATTACTTGAGACATCATAAGGTCAAACATAAAATACATTCACATAAATTATAGTGAGTCTGGTTTTACGCCACTTTTAGCAATATCACGGCAGGGGACATCAAATAAATTAGATAAATGTTCATTAATGTCAAGAGTGTTTGATAGCAATCTGCATTGATATGAATAATTTGGAATTCCTAATGATATTTTACGGTTTTACATGTTTACAATTCACTTAACTGGCACACATTCATAATCGAAAATTCACTTACGTTCCCGTTTCTTCCTGATTTGATCCCATTGTCGAACATTACCAGGAGAGTGCACTGTAAATATAGAACAAAGTATTGAAAATGTTAAATTTGACCTGAAGTACAGAAACATCCTTCTTACAAATCACTGACTGGTAACTATTGAGAAGAATATCTTGTACTTTTAGCCCGAAGTGTTTTCAGTTTCTTTCATAGACTATGCTACTCAATGTTTTCCTGTCATCTATTGTGCAATTTATTATATCGTTTAGCATTTCTCTGATTACACAAGTTCTTATAACTTACCTCCACTGTGAATTTTGAAGATGACAGGTAGTGTCGCAAGCAGAGCATACGACAAATATCTAACAAATCTTCCGTTTTTCCAATGGAACCTGAACGGGAACAGTTTTATCTTTCCTGCTACAGAGTAGGGATAGCGTACAGGTTCCACTCCGCCCGCCATCTGTAGAAAAAATAAACTTCTCAATTATATTGTCGCAGATACAGTAAAAGACTTTGGTGAGCCCCTGTACAATTGCTATCAAAAGTACAGCATGACTAACCACAGATCAGGCATAATACATCATCTTAACGCCCCAAACAATATGTTCTCTCTAACTCAAATGGCCCACAAGTATATTTTGTTTTAAACTATGTCATGAATACTAAAATATTTTCAGTTGCAGTCGCTTATGGGATGCAAATATTTTATGCGAAATATATGGTTCTGTTGCACATCACTAATAGCGAGTTTCTATCATATTGTTTAACAAATAGAATATCTCTGCATGAGTTCTGATCTTACCCTGACCTGCTGGGTGCAGCGAGATGGCCTCTTATACTAAAAGAATTATGATTTAATTATCACATTATCTTTGTTTTCTCCACTGTTTTAGCCTTTGGAACCCTTTTCTTACCTTAGTGTCACCATACAGTTTGTAGCATACATACGTGCAGATTTCTCCACATTCATAGTGAGTTTTCGTAGATGGCCAATAGAAATGTAAAAGTGGGAGCAACGTGGATCATTTCTTATTTTAACAGGCCCAAGCACCCGCTGTTACTTAATGTGTTCCTAACTGCGGCGTAAACCAGAATATTCCATCAAACAGCACACTGCACGAAAACAGAAGGTCTATAACCTAATCACCGGTTTCGGCGTTTCAATAGGAGTATGAGCTTTAGCGTTTCAATTTTAATGCTTAGAGTTCGTCAACATTATAATGGGTGTTCCTAAGTCAGCACGAATAAATGTTGCTCCATATAAACACGTTAACACCTACTTTGTTACTTGTCCTTCACGGGCTCCCAACGAACTTGAAGAAAATGGTGGAAGGACTACATAAGCGCCCTCAAGCGGTAACTAGTGATGGAAGGGACGTAATATCACCACGCCATGGAAAACATTTGTGGTCTGTCACAGCTGTCAGAAACAATATATGTGTGTCACATATATTTCAAGTTTTGAATTCTTATTTGAAATTCGAGTCCATCAACCTTAAATTAGAATATCACTAACATTAAACTTAATTTATTTATTATTTATCAACGGGTGTGTAGCAGAAGGCAGCTTAACAGCTGTACTAACAGACATAAAACACTTATTATCATCTATCGGCTTCGGCAATGCCTGGCATGAACAATTTGTAGAATCTCATTCTCACTTTGTCTGTGCAGTTAAACAAAGACTTAAAGATATAATCCTTCAAAATTGGTTAAGTAGTCTCTCAATATCTAATAAATGTTTTTACTACAAAATGATAAAAGATTCCATATATACAGAACATTATCTTTCAGTCTTGACCATAAGGAAATATAAATCTTCATTGGCGAGATTCCGCTGCTCCGCGCACGATTTATATGTTGAAACTAGGAGATACCAAGGTATAAAGAAAGAAAGTAAAATCTGCCAAATGTGCAACTTACACGAGGTCGAAGATGAGTTTTCACTTTTTATATGTTTGCCCGGCATACTTATCATTAAGAAATAGATATATAAAGAAATATTATTATGTACACCCTGAAACGCATAAGTTTATATCATTGATGAATAATTCCAGTAAAACACATTTAGAAAGATTGTCCATATATATTCATAAAGCTTTTATTCTCAGAAAGAATGTTCTACTCCCCGTACATGATTAACCAATGTACTACAGGCCTGTGGCCTTTCAGTATGAAATAAAGATTGGTTGATTGAGCTGTACTGGCTAGCGAACAGTTATTGCCTCGTAGCAGTTATCGCCAGTACATCAGCATCACACGTGCGCAGTTCCGGACAATTACAATTCCGGTATTTTCCCCTAAGGTATTTGACAAAAATAAGGGACAGCAAAAGAAAATTCTTCACGGAAACGCCAAGTAGCATAGGAGAAAAATTAAAGTTAAAGTTATGAATCCTATGATTTTTTTAAAACTTAGTCGGGGCGATGTCCCACGACCTAATAGAAAGTTCAAGTTCACAAATCATTAATTGATTCATTCCCTATCAATCTACTGTAAAAGAAACGCTCAAATAGTCACACAATCAATTATTCAAGGTTACTGTATGATATAAATATATATTATTTCACGAATGGCATGAGAAATTCTGAATGGCGATAACTGTTACAGTTAGTTGTGAGAAAACATCTATTTATACTGCCATGATTCCCTTCCGTCGCCTTATATAAAAACATGATCGGCGGCAGTGAACGGGCTGGACACATCGGTGAATAGCTAATTAAGTATCATTATTCTGTTTCATTAGTTTAACGAACGGTGGAGTAATTTTGTAAATACGGCTAAAATATGGCGATAACTGTTCACTAGCCAGTATACATGTATGAAAACCCATGCAACGTAAAATATATAATGAAATGGAGGATTTGACGTCATCGATATTGACTATTGCATAAATATATTTTTAAGTACATATAAACATATACAGATTACACCAAATACAACTATTCTCTAAGTAGTCATAATTAGAGACTTACAGTTGTGTGTGTCTAACAAGCCATTGTAGGAATATAATTCAATCACGAGAAGGTTGTTGAGTTAGTTTCAGTATTTCCCTGTGAAAATTTGAAGGTTGTCTTGATGATATAATCGTGGACTTTGAAGTGTGTGTCTTGATGATATAATCGTGGACAGATTCAACTATTTTCTGGTTTACATAAGGAATAAATTCTTTGTTTCCGTTCAAAAACTTATACAGGTTATAACGGGTAGTTGACATCCACAAGAGCAACATGCACTGTCTATTAAATGTATGTTATACATATCGGCGTTTGGGTCGCTAGATCCGAGCCTGAGGCAGCAATGAACGATTTGACAAAAACAAGAGTCTGACAAGAAATTCTAGATTATGTCCATTTTGTGTTATACCTGTAATTGAGACAGAATATCACATATGTTTGGAATGTCCTTTTTACTATAATCTCAGACATACAATTTTGCCTGAGTTCTATTGTACTCATCCTTCTTATGATAAACTTGTATTACTTTGCACATCACACGATTCAGGTATTTTAAATCGTTTAGCGAAGTTTTTGTTCCTTGCATTCAAACAACGTAACAATTACCTTAACAAAACTTGTACAACCCATTAAGTGTATATTTATTGACCTTGTACAGTGTTATGGCGCTCCAGATTTCCACTTTCATGATATGACTCATGTAACTGTATAATGGGCCTGTGGCCTCTTTATTGAATAAACCAATTACTAGTATTATTAAAGACATTTACATGAGTATGTTAATCAATTTAAAGTTTCATTAAGTTACCTCCACAAGATTCAGTTACGTAGCAAATCAGTAATTAGCTAGGGTGAATCCATTCTATCAGACAGGGGAGTATGGTGTGTTTTCGTTGTTAATTACCTACTCCACTGTCTCATAACTGGGAGTCTCACAACTGGGAGTTCTCACAAATGGGAGTAGACCAAACATTTGAGTCACATGTTCAAATTCCATTTAAAATAATAACATCAACAAACTAAACACTATTTACACTATTTTATTATGAAATTTATTACAGTTTTATTTTTCGGCCCATTTTCGGCCTTTTTGACTTTTGATTTCGGTCCATTTGACTTTTGGCCTCGGCCCATTTGACTACAACACTTAGTAATACGTGTACGGGTCACGCCATGTCTATGTCTTCCCACAACCAGGGAACTCCAGCACACGGCAAAGAACAAACGCTTCGTCTGGACGATCGTACTATCCGTAGCGTGGCCTGAAATTCTTCGAAAGAAAATCGTTAAGCCCGGAGAGGACCATGATACAATATGTTTTTTCTTGAGGATGAAATAAACACGAGGAAATCGCATACAACACATTCTTATTGAATTGAGGATGCACGTGGTTATATTGCTTGCCTCTGACTGATACAAATACCGTATTTCACGTTTTCAACAAATAACATTTAAAACAATTATGTAGTGTATTATTAAAGAGGAACAATGCCTTATATGGATAAACAACTTTCTTATTGCAATAAATGCAATCTATTGGAATATAGAAGTGTCTATTCATAAAAAAATGTTCGTCTTCATCATACCAGCATCTTAATGCCACTCAAAGAAGTGATGTATTATTGTCTACAATCAATCTCCATGTCGGATGCCGGATATTGTAAATAATATACGATCTGAGTTAGGAAATCTCATACATGTGCCAATCTTATTTAACTGGACAAGGAAAATAATAAGAACTGGAAACAAAATGAACTTCCTATCAGTGTTACAAAGGACACAAAGAAAGCCTATCAACTGAGTCGGAGTGAAAAGCTACAATATACGAGTGTAGATACTAGATCTATACTGATACTCGTGATGTCGGTCTCTTGGTTGTCATGTCCAGATTCGACTATTTGCAGAGTGCCAATGTGAGCTGGGGTATTGCTGAGTGTGTCGTTAAACAACAAACAAATATAAATATGTACCAAAACTGGTCTGTTTGAGGGGCATTTCATTTGTAAGAAAACATAGGTTGGTGGACGCTGTTTGGGATCATCAGTGTCAAAACGATGTGATTTTGTTTGGACTATTTCATAAAAGAACAGGGATACTCTTTTCATATACAAGTGGCAGATTGAACTACTGCGTTTCCCACCTCTAATGTCTTCTAGCAGTTCCAAACTAGTTAACATACCTGTATCTTCACGTGGCTGTTATAGTAAGAAAATTACGAAAGTTAGAGCAATCCAGTTCAACATTCCGTAAAACTGCTTAAAATCATATTTTTGTGGACAGTATGGCCAAAACGTTCCTACAAATGAAACAAATTGTGAAATTCTGGGACGGCTGCAGATATGCAGTGAAAAGAACGTTGACAATATAGAAATGTTGAAATTACAGATGTTTCGATTACACAATGCCATTTAGAAAGTGATCAAATGTAACATATGTTATATTTGGGATTACACTTTCTTAGTAAAGTACTGATTCTAGTACTTTTGGGTTCAGTCTCATCTGGGATTCGAACCCACACCCTCAGAGTCAGGCACCTAATCCCAAATATAACACATGTCACATTTGACCACTTTCTAAATGGCATTGTGTAATCAATCAATGCCGTGGGAGCCAATTAACACTTATCAGAGGGGTACACAAAGTCCGCAGTCTAGACTACCAGTTGTCCGACTTCCATATTTGTGGAAGTCGCGGTGACTGAGCGGGTTAGGCGGCTGACTTTGCGTGCTGGCGATTAGGTGCCTGACTCTGAGGGTGTGTGTTCGGATCCCGGATGATACTGAACTCAAAAAGCACTAGAATCTGTACATTACTAAGAAAGTATAATCCCAAACATAACTTGTGTTACAGAGGTTTCGTTACCCCGGGTACTCAAAAGTAACGTCTTTCAATTTCGTCAGAAACGCCAGGATCAATTCCATGTTTCTTGGTTTGTCAACAGCAGGCGTGATCGTGTACTACAGCAAATGCCTGCATTGTGTTTCTCCCACATCAAACCAACATATACCGTTCAAAGCGGCCTTAACACAAATCACCCACTCACTCAGTCATTCTATCTATCATACAATCTCGAGCAGGTTCCATCATGAGCTAGAAATTGCATTGGAGTTGTGTTTGCCACGGAGACATTATTTCTGTGTATGGTCTCTGCTGTGTAAGGATGAGTTGCTTTACACAGAGACCATATATACTAGGTTTATTATCATTATTTATTATATGGTCTCTAATTTACATGATAAAACGTGAAACGGATGACGAGTGGACAGTTCCTAGAACTCTATAATATAGCCTCTGACATGTTGCTTGTATAAGGAAGTTTTATTTTTGTGGCCAGACTACGTAGTTTGACCTTATTTTCACGGTGATGGCTTAGCAAAATGAACACGTTTATAATTCAAACCTAGGGCTGTCAAAGCGCGACAAGCAAACTCACTAATGACAATGTCAACGGATTAAAAAGAAACATATATGTGAGAGTACATGGAATCTGGACTCGTTTTTCGATTCTGCAAAATATTCCTAACGTATTAAATGACACTCTTCTGGTTTCAACGGCTCCATTATTATGGTAAACCCTACTGTATCATGGGCGGATCCAGGAATATGGGGGTGGGGTGGGGGTGTTCGAACCCCTGAATCCCCCCTTGGCTCCGCCAACGCCAAAAAAAATCTTCAATGTGGTCTTATGTCATTTTCAAAAGGGGGGTTCGAACCCCTAAGGGGACCCCCTACCCTACCCCCACCCTCCCTGGATCCACCCATGTGTATGCATTTCAGTGATAAAATATCGTGTCTCTTGACAGTTCTTGCAGCATTTGAATTTCGAAATTAATGTTAACCACGTGAATCGTTATTTGTTTGAAACAACTCATGTAACCAATAGAAAACCAAACTGGTTTAACTCAAACATAGGCGTTTAATACAAAGGGCACCAATGACCTCGTTTGCAAAACAAACGGAAAAATACGAGATTGGCTGATTGTTCACAACACAAGCACTTTCAATCAAGAGTTAGTTCCCTTGAAAGCAGATGGCGTAGTCAGCTGTTTCCGTGTTTAGGGTGGAAGAAGAGATTCGGTGGTTATTTTTTTCATGTTTGTCACACCACTTGAGTTCCCCAACCATGTAGTCACTCTCGGTGGTGTTGCTCCGTGAATCCCCGCTGTAACTTACCACATTTGCGGGATCCTTGTCCATTATGACGGACGTATTTCACGGCTTCGAGCTGCTACTGTTCCGTCGCTTCCAGTCCCATCCTGAGCTATGGATAGAATGGAGAGACAAACTCGCCAAGAAGATAAGCGACAAGGGCACTTTGATCGACGACATAGAGGATATCGGGGTGACGTTTCTTTTTGCATTCTCATTGCATGCAGTACTTTTCATCCCCAGGCATTAAGATTACTTAAACGTTTCGTTGTTAGAAAGTATGTTGGTGCAGATCCAGAAAATCCTCCGTATGTTCCGAAACATATTTTTTTCTGGATCAACCGGTCATGAATCAGTTATTGCATTTTTTTCGTCATTTTGTCGTGTTGGTTTTCATATGGGTAAGAGTATCTCCCGTTCCCCCATCCTAAATAATATTTATGAATCAATATATACTACAATTATTAACAAAACCTAACACACCAATTACTGGAGAACTCACAAAAATAACTAAAAGCCCGCAAATTAATCACAATATATAGAGTCGAACCACTTAGCGTTACCTCTGTTAAGCTGCGAAAGAAACAATATGGGAAACGGAAGGAACTCTTTCCGCAAAGTTGCCACTAATGACAGTGATGACTAACAATTTACCGTCTGCCAAGAGTCATAAAGAACATTTAGCAAATAAAAAACCCACAATTTACACGATTAATTATGCCACTATTGTTTATGATGTTACTAAATGTCCAGGTTATGCATGTTTGTAAAAAGGGTACTAATCATGATTACAGTCAAGAAGTCCTGCTTGGAGGAAATGACAGTTTGCATGCAGTGCCTGCACTAGATGTGCATAGTCGTGCCGTTTGATCATTGAAGCATCCCTGAATAAATAAGTGGATCACTTCTAATGAAATGAGCTTGATAGCATACACATCATTTCAGTGCTTTGGAATCATGGGAATGGTGTGGTAGGCTAGTGATCGTCACAAACTTTCAAAAGTGGGAAGCCCTTGCCTGATAATCCTAGTCATGATTTGATGAAATGTTACTAAAATTGGGATAACAATCCATATTCACTCACAACAATCTGTATGATGTGTATTGCATCTGCTTATTAAGAATACAAGCTAGTTTAGGTTCCAGCTGGCTTGGCAAGTTAATTTTGTACAATGGCATGTATGAAATTTTGGTTGAGTAATGCTTCACTCGTGGATAAGTAAACAAGGTGTTCTTGTCTCTATGAAATTATTATGACTACAGTCATTCAGCATCATTGTTCAACTAATTACGTCTAGTACATGTGGCTTGACATACTGAAGGATGATCCCTGTCCACAGCTTCAAGAATTTTGTGTTTTCTTTACTTGGATTAAATAATGGATTCTGTGACACATCAGAGCCAAAAATTATAAAAAGCAACATGAAACCACTAACATCATCCATATCCATCACATACATGAAATATATATTATGATAATTACACAGACATGGCTACTGAGATGTAAGTCACGGATATTTGCACACATGACATGGGCAACCCGTACAGCAACATGTACACGCTGACTAGATCTTGAAAAACAAACAGTTTGTGTTTCATGCAGACATGCACTTACTGACCTATATATAACATAGGCATATAGTAATGTTGGAGTAAAGGATGGTCAAATAAACTACAGAAGACTGGTGTTGTAATAAAGGAAATGTTTTTTGGTGACCAGTGTTGTATTAACCATGGTAACAATGTCACTGCGCAATGACATCTACTTGCACAATGAACAGGTCACGCAGAGATATTTTGTTTTTTGTGTGTGTTTTTTATAATTAGATCATAATTAAACAGATATAAAGTGTAAATATTCCAAAATTGGAGTAAGTAATATTCCATTTTATTACATATTCATGGTGTTATAGGATGAGGTAATGTTAGCATGATTAGGGCAGAGGTAACTTGTATTTCTCTCATACAGAGTGAACAGAAAGACTCTTTAACATATTAGTTTTATGTTATTGCATTGAATGCTATATTAAGTATGGTACAGGACCCAGGGCCTCAGATGAGAGACAGATTATATGTTGTGGATGCCTCAGACTCGTGATGAGAGACAGCTTATATGTTGTGGTTGCCTCAGACTCGTGATGAGAGACAGCTTATATACTGTGGATGCCTCAGACTCGTGATGAGAGACAGCTTATATGTTGTGGTTGCATGTCTTTGTGTGCTAATGTTGGGGAAGTTCTTGGTTGAGGGGATGCTGCTAATGGTCACTGCTGGTTAAAATCTTTCTCACTTGGAAATATTTTAAGTCTCTAAGTACTGATAAATAATTACAACCTTTAGTGAAATGAGACACTGTCATCTGGTCCATGGCCTGAGTGATGGCTTTACCATGGGATTGACAGAAGGCTAATACTTTCCATGCTGTGTGAACCAGTGTGTCTGTGTAGACCTTACATCAGCTTCAACCAGCTTGCATCAGTAAATGAGGGCAGCTGGATCTGGTCCGCATGTTTCCCTGTGGGGGATGTAACCCAACCATCCAGCCTTGATTAACTGGCTGCCATGATGTAACTGGAGCTGAAGGGGTCATCGGCACGGATACTACAGATATGTACCCCAGGTATGTTTCTGTATACAGATATGTACATCCACATCTTTTAGGTACGTATCTGTAGTACCTGTGCCGACAACGACCCCTTCAGCGTAACTGGAATATTACTGACTGCAGCATAGACACTAGTCTGTCTCACAGTCCCTGAACCACGTTATTTTCCCTACTGCCAAGCTCTCTCTGCAGTGCTAAAGCCCTAAATAAAGCAAGTCTAGATTTCCTCAGGTTCTGAATCTCTGGTCTCCCTAGGGCTCCTTTTCAATATAAATGGGCTTGTTTGTTACTATCAAAATATATATATTCAGAGACTAAGCCTTAGTCTACATAGACACATATCTACTACCCAAAAGAATTGAAGAACACACTATCTGACAGGGGTGGAAATAACCCATTGCCCGACGTCCGAGTCTCTTTTATTTTTCTGTCGGGCAAGCATATTTGTATATCATGCTGTACCGGTGTCCAGTTGACTTTCCAATGTTAATTATGTTGTTTATTTAAAAATTCAACTAGAAAATTGGCCAGTATAGTGGGAAGATTATCAGGGCAAGTGATTTTACATGTGCCACTGTACCGGAGTACACTAGCAATTTTAAGGTTATCTCCACCTCTGATCTGACACTGTCTGACAGATTAACTATGGTTATCTGGTCATAGGATAAATTCTAGCTATGTAGGTTTTGTTTGACTTCTTTTGCATGTTTTGCTAACACCAATCAGAGACCCTCATGTGACAGATGCAAAGATTAAACCTGTGTTTTCATGCCAGAGTTGTGAAACTGAAAATTTTATGTCATTCATGTAGATTAAATCATGGGAGGTTGCAATAAAAAAGGCTGTTTGTCTTTGAACTGCTGTTATAATATTATTCATGTTTGAACAAAACTGAATGTTAGAAATAGAGGCAAATACCTAACTATTCAACATGTCAATCGAGTCAATCACATTTCCTTATGATAAACATGATGGCGATTCCATCTGTACTATGGGAACAAAAGTGAGTAGCAGGCATCCATAACAACAAGCATGATTATGGAACAATTGAGTAATGATGCATTTGGCATCCTAGTTGATTGAAAATTAAGAACAGTCCATCATGTCTATGATGTCATAACACTTTAATGTTGCAGTTGTCGTTATTGCCAATAATGACAAGAAGTGTCATTGAGAACAGTTTGTTTATTACACATGAACACTGTTTCATGGCCTCTTCTTGCCTTCAGCTGATGAATGTCTGTTTTTGTTTGTTTGATGTTAAATGCTGCACTTATATGCTACTGTATGATGCCGATCTGTAAATAATCGAGTCTGAACCAGACAATACACTGATTAAAGTCTGTTGCTAATTAGATGTGGATGATCCAGATGTGATAAGATTGATGTGAAGAAGGAATAGATAGACATGACAGTTGTTACAGGAGAGTGGGTCATGGTAATGTGTTTAAGCAATTAATTCAGTGAGTTGAAAAGTAGATTAGAATTGAATGTCCCATACACTGGGGAGGAAGACTGTCTGATCACAGAAGATTGATGCCCTGTATCATCTGAAGAGGATAGGCTTGGAACTTACACGCCAAATGTCTGTACGAATACAGGAACTGGAATGGCAGGATGTTGGGTTCAGATAGGGCTGATTAAAGTATTTCATGTGTAGAAAGAGGATGTGTTTTTAAATACTTTTTTATGATTCATTTGTAGAATAGCTTTGCGTTTTAACACATTTGTGATGGGTACATGATTCTATTATGAAATAGACCGTCTCCGTGGTGTAGTGGTTAGAACGGCCGCCCGGAGAGCGGAAGGTCGCGGGTTCGATCCCCGACCGCGTCATACCAAAAGACGTTAAAATATGGTACTTGTTGGTCCCTGCCTGGCGCTCGGCATTAATGGGTACAACAAGGACTGGTCGGCTCGGAGTCAGTATAATGTGTCTGAGTGGGGTATTCATGCTTCACTGCGGCGTGGTATCTCAGTGGGCTAGCACTATAAAACCAGCTTAAGTCTTGGCTAGTACAAGCAGCCGCACATACACATACACACGCATGCACTTCGTCATATGAGCGAAATATTCTCAAGCACGACGTTAAAACCCAATTTCACCTCACCTATTATGAAATAAGTGTTTGTTTGTTAATGCAGCACTCAGAAATATCTCAGCTAAATGACAGTATTCAATGAAATAAAGTAAAATAATCAAGTCTGCACCACACCATCCAGTGATTGACATAATAAGCATTGATCTAGGCATGTTCCAAGGTAGGAGGTGGCTTTAGCTTAATACAGTAGGTTTTATAATGGCCTTTTGACTTTTGTAATGGTTTTTTAGTTCAGCCATCATTTTAATCCTGAAAGTTGGCCTATGTAAAGTCAGGCCGAGATGGTCAGTCTAGTCAGCAATGGTCATGGCTTCAGGAGAATGGCTGAGCAAAAATAGAAAATTCTGCTTCACTAGAGGATTTTCTGTATTGATCAAGCTAAAAAGCATAGTTGCCGAATGTGAAATGAAGTCTGACTGGCAAGGATATTAGTCCTCTCTGCTGACATTTCTAGCACAAAAGCATTTTGTGTTTGTGTCAGTTTTGATTCAGATTTGGAGTCTCTTTTGCAGCAGTGTCCATATAATGTGAACTATGGAGAATTTCACAAAGAAAATTTGAAGCAGTGGAGTTAAAATTTGCAAAGGAGACATCGATAATGTTAAAAAGAAAGCTTTAAGGCAGGTTCATTGATTTGTGATAGTGTCAACAAGTATCAGTTATTTCTTTGTGCGATGGAATTCACCGATTTTGCAAATTGTCACTCTTTGTGCAGTAAACTCATGCTATGGCCAATAATCAATGACACATTATCTGATAGCAGCAGCATAACAGGTCAGCTGAGGTGTGAATACGAGAGATTGACCACATTCCAGACATTTTCAAATTGCATTCCGTGATGCTCTGCACTAGGTTAGTGACAGCAAAATCAATAGATAGCTCCTTTAAACGAATTGCTAGCACAAGAGGCAGAAAGCTTTCATTTAATTGAGTATTTTCCTTGACTATCCAGTTTACTGCATCGACACAGCTAAATGCTCGTTAAGCTGTTACTGAAGTCAGGAGATGCCCTGTTTTTGAAAGAAAGATTCAGGGAGGTTTAGGAAGGTTAAAGTAATTCAGATGTCTTCCACACACTACATGTTTGCTGATTTTACTGTTCATTACACATTTTTGAACTGTTTTTAAGAAGACTTGCATAACGAATATTGAGGAAAATTTACTTTTGTTTGTAAATTGTAAAATCCATATGTCAATTATAGTAATAGTTTGATCATCAAAATGAATAAAATGTATTAATCCGTATTGTGATAGGTCCATTATGAGTTATATCATGTTGAATATCATGTGTCATCAGGGACATTCTTGCACAATTGGTGTTTTGGTAGCTATTGTTAGTTATGTCACTGTATCTAGGTTGATGCATTACTACAGAGTGATGTAACAGGATGTAACACAATGTATCAACCTAATGGATATGAGCTGGTATGGTTTGTGCAGAATACATAATTGATACATAGTTGGTGCCTGGCTGATTAATGGTTGATGCATACATGATACATACATGATACCTGGACCAAGACATTGTTGGAATGTTATTGACACACAGGTGAAAGATGTTCAGATGTTATTGAAAGATAGTTAAAACAGCAGTAACAATATCAAGAGATCTCCCAGACCTGTTATTTTCTAAATCTGTATTTCAGGAGATCCCCCTAGACCCCGTGACTGACTGAATGCTGTGTGTGTTTCAGGAGATCACCCTAGACCCTGTGACTGACTGAATGCTGTGTGTGTTTCAGGAGATCCCCCCAGACCCTGTGACTGACTGAATGCTGTGTGTGTTTCAGGAGATCCCCTAGACCCTGTGACTGACTGAATGCTGTGTGTGTTTCAGGAGATCCCCCTAGACCCTGTGACTGACTGAATGCTGTGTGTGTTTCAGGAGATCACCCTAGACCCTGTGACTGACTGAATGCTGTGACTGGAGATCCCCAGACCCTGTGACTGACTGAATGTGTGTGTGTGTTTTCAGGAGATCCCCTAGACCCCTGTGACTGACTGAATGCTGTGTGTGTTTCAGGAGATCCCCTAGACCCTGTGACTGACTGAATGCTGACTGAATGCTGTGTGTGTTGTCAGGAGAGATCCCCTGTGACTGACTGAATGTGACTGACCCTAGACCATGACTGAATGCTGTGTGTGTTTCAGGAGATCACCCTAGACCCTGTGACTGACTGAATGCTGTGTGTGTTTCAGGAGATCCCCCACCTAGACCCTGTGAGACAGTGTGACTGACTGAATGCTGTGTGTGTTTCAGGAGATCCCCTAGACCCCGTGACTGACTGAATGCTGTGTGTGTTTCAGGAGATCCCCCCTGAGACCCTGTGACTGACTGAATGCTGTGTGTGTGTTTCAGGAGATCACCCTAGACCCAGGAGATCCCCTGTGACTGACTGAATGCTGTGTGTGTTTCAGGAGATCCCCTAGACCCTGTGACTGACTGAATGCTGTGTGTGTTTCAGGAGAGATCCCCTAGACCCTGTGACTGACTGAATGCTGTGTGTGTGTGTTTCACTGAATGAGATCCCCCTGACCCTGTGACTGACTGAATGCTGTGTGTGTTTCAGGAGATCCCTAGACCCTGTGACTGAATGCTGTGTGTGTGTTTCAGGAGATCATCCTAGACCCTGTGACTGACTGAATGCTGTGTGTGTTTCAGACCCCTTCAGAATGCTGGAGATCCCCCTAGACCCTGTGACTGACTGAATGCTGTGTGTGTTTCAGGAGATCCCCCAGACCCTGTGACTGACTGAATGCTGTGTGTGTTTCAGGAGATCACCCCTAGACCCTGTGACTGACTGAATGCTGTGTGTGTTTCAGGAGATCCCCCTAGACCCTGTGACTGACTGAATGCTGTGTGTGTTTCAGGAGATCCCCCTAGACCCTGTGACTGACTGAATGCTGTGTGTGTTTCAGGAGATCCCCCTAGACCCTGTGACTGACTGAATGCTGAGTGTGTTTCAGGAGATCCCCTAGACCCTGTGACTGACTGAATGCTGTGTGTGTTTCAGGAGATCCCCCCAGGAGACCCTGTGACTGACTGAATGCTGTGTGTGTTTCAGGAGATCCCCCCCCTAGACCCTGTGACTGACTGAATGCTGTGTGTGTGTCAGGAGATCCCCCCATCCCTGGACTGATCCCCCCTAGACCCTGTGACTGACTGAATGCTGTGTGTGTTTCAGGAGATCCCCCTAGACCCTGTGACTGACTGAATGCTGTGTGTGTTTCAGGAGATCACCCTAGACCCTGTGACTGACTGAATGCTGTGTGTGTTTCAGGAGATCCCCCTAGACCCTGTGACTGACTGAATGCTGTGTGTGTTTCAGGAGATCCCCTAGACCCTGTGACTGACTGAATGCTGAGTGAATGCTGTGTGTGTTTCAGGAGATCCCCTAGACCCTGTGACTGACTGAATGCTGTGTGTATTTCAGGAGATCCCTAGACCCTGTGACTGACTGAATGCTGTGTGTTTCAGGAGATCACCCTAGACCCTGTGACTGACAGAATGCTGTGTGTGTTTCAGATCCCCTAGACAGTGTGACTGACTGAATGATGTATTTCAGGAGATCCCCATAGACAGTGTGACTGAATGCTGTGTATTTTAGAGATGCCTTAGACCCTGTGATTTGCTGAATTTTTGTGTGTATTTCAGGAGATCCCCTGGACCCAGTTATTGATTGAATGCTGTGTATTTTAGAGATTCCTTAGACCCTGTGATTTGCTGAATTTTTGTGTGTATTTCAGGAGATCCCCTAGACTCAGTTATTGACTGAATGCTGTGTGTTTTTCAGGAGATCCCCCAGAGCCTGTGGTATCTGTCTGTGACTCTCCACCGTCGTCAGCGCTACCTGTTGGAGCTTATTCAGAAAGAGGCTCAGAGGGGGAGAGAGAAGCGTCTACCCAAGGCTGGTGGTGAGTCCTCACAATGAAAAGAAGTCATAAGACTCATATTCCTTTACCTACAAAATGTAACTGTGGTTACTGATGGTTGTATTTCCAGCACTGTGGCTAATGCCCAAAGCTGATGGTGAGTGCTCAGCAAAGACGCAAGTCTCATGTAACCATGGTAACTGATGGTGGTATTCACAACACACTGGCTGAATATAGATCCAAATTATTAACTAAGATATTAAACAGTTGTTATTGATTTCCTCCATTAAGCCATGTAAATTATGTATGTTGACATTACTCTATTTTCCTTCACTGTAGCTACAATAAGCTAATAGCAGGACAATACTGCTGACTGACTGAGTTTGGTTTTACGCCGCTTTTAGGAATATTCCAGCAACATCACGGCGGGGGACACCAGAAATGGGCTTCACACATTGTACCCATGTGGGGATTTGAACCGGGTCTTTGGCGTGACGAGCCAACGCTTAACCACTAGGCTACCCCACTGCCCCGACAATACTGCTGTATGATAACTAATTATAATGATAGTCAATAATAAGTATATTTATTGTCAGCATGATTGGGTTTGCATCAACAACTATGTCACTGCTCTCTGTGTGTTGCAACTCGGTCTGAAATATGTACCCATGAAGGTCTGGGAAAGAGTTGATCTTGAGCAACCCATGCTTGTTGCCCAGAGGCAACTAATGGGATCGGGTGGTCAGGCTCTTGGTTGACACATTGTCATCATATCCCAGTTGTGTAGATGGATGCTCATGCTGTTGATCACTAGATTGTCTGGTCCACGCTTCGATTATTTACAGACTGACTCCATATAGCTGGAACTTTGCTGAGTGCAGTGTAAAACTAAACTCACTCACTCACTCTGAAATATGCAAATTAGTTGCAAAAGTTAAAAATATAAGAAGCTGAAAGCAATGAGGCTTACTATTGTTGCAGCAATTAGAGTGCAGCGTCAGCAGGGCATACCATATTGGGGTTGTATCTCAAGAGAGTGGTAGAATGACGTAGTTCCCATAGGGTTCCTGGTAAGATTGGTTCAAGTGCCCATACTTGTTGGTAGAGCACTACACAGGGGATTATGTGTGAGAAATCAACCCAAGTCTGTCTCCCTGTCCCAAAACCACATTATTTCTCTTAATGAAACAAGTCTAGATTTTCATTAGGTTTAGGCTCAGTGGGTCTTCTTTTCAATTTAAATGGAGTTAGTTGTTGCTACTAAAATATTTATACATTCAGAATCTACTTGTTAGCCTAAAATCACCCCCTTGCAACCTATACAAACTTGTAGAAGGAGTGAGTGAGTGAACGAGTGAGTTAAGTCTTTAGCAATATCACGGCAGGGGACACAAGAAATGGGCTTCACACATTGTACCCATGTGGGGAATCGAACCCGGGCTTCGGCGTAACAAGCGAACACTTTAACCACTAGGCTACCCCACAGCCCCTGTAGTAGGAAGTCACTTAATGAAGTGTATATTCAGACTTATTGACTTGGTCAAAGCATATTAACATACAGTGTGGGACTTTGCCCTGTATCAATCCATGGTTTGTGTGGTCCGGACTGGATTATTTATAGGCCACTGTCGAGGCGGCGGGTTAGCCTAGTGGTTCAAGCATTGTTGATTCCCCATGGGCACAATGTGAAGCCCATTTCTGGTGTCCCCGCCGTGATATTATTGCTAAAAGCGGCGTAAAACTAAACTCAGTCAGTCAGTCAGTTATAGGCCACTGTTATAGAGCTGTAATGTTGCTAAGTGCAGTGTTTAACAACATACAAAAATATAATGTTGCTTAGGTTCAGTCAATGTGTGTCAGCTATGTAAAACAAAGATGTTTTCCTTACATCCAGAAACGCTGCTGTCTCGCTACCTGTCTAGTCATCAGTTCACAGAGTTCTATCTGGACTCCATGTTCAAGTATGGTGACGACAACAGGCTTCCCAGAGAGGTAGGTAGCCATGGTAATCAGTGCTGTACTGAAAATAATCGGTACTGTACCTGAAAACTGTTCATTTGACTCTGCGTTTCAGATGATAAGCATGATAAGTTCTATGTTTTCAAACAGTGTCTGAACAAAATAGTTTTGAAATGAAACTCACAGCATCTTACCCCTGGTAAGAACACATGGTACTTCTAACAAATATTTACCATACAGTACTAGAAATCAATAAGAAAGACAATTGTGAAACTGTGTGCATCGATGAAAAATACATCATATCAAGGTGCCTTTGATGATTTTGACCTTTGACTAGTTACAACACTACTGCAATACACTTTCATATTTGGTGAATCGAACTGTATCACTTCATGTATTCAATTCATTATTCATGTTCACTAGAATGAAATATTTACGCATGTTTTTAAGAGAGTGTTTTTAATTAGGACTTAGTTTATCCAAGCCATCTCGTAGCATCATTGTGGCAGGCCCCTTGCAGCAATGTCATTAGGCTATAAGTGGCATTTTTTTGCTTTTTTGCCTTATAGAAATTATCATTGAAATGTTTCAACCAAAGCAATTACATGTTATTTCATTTACTTGATATTGAACATAAAGTATTCATGAATAAATATTAATTTCATTACAAATTATTCATCAAATATATCATATTCACTTCAAAGTGTATTTGCTGCACCACTACTCTCTCCAATATCAGTTGCATCCTCCCCATCTAACCAGATGTCTCAGCTACATGTTCAAAACATTCAGTCACTTAGGGACCATTCATTATTTATGGCTAGGTGGTGATGATGATTTGTGTGTGTGGGTGTGTGTCTGTCTCATCCATTTTGTTCTGGGGAGGTCATCAATATTGTACACATGGACTAGGGGTGGGTGGGGTGTGTATGTGTGTATCAGCAATTTTGTACATAATAGTATTAAAATTTTATGCTTAAAAATTGTGGGGAGGGGGGATTGATTTTGTACATGACATGCAGGGGGTCACTTACTTGTACATAAAATTTAGGGGGTGGGGTGTCATTCACATTGTACATGCTTCTCAATAAAAATCCTCATCGCACCCCCTACCCATAAATTATGAACGGTCCCTTACCAGTATTCACCAGTAACTACACAATGTCCCAACTCAGTGTTAATGCTCACATCGTTATTGCTTCCACAAAGTTATCTCCCTTAGGCCATAACACTTCCATTGCACTTGCAGCTCTTCAAGTGTGCCAATGTGCGGTTCTTGTCTCTCAAGTACAACAGCCTGGACCGTATCCCGGCAGAAATTGGCCGGATGCACAAACTGGAATACCTGGCCCTGACAAATAACAAGCTCCAGGTGCATTCTCTCCCCCACACTTTAACATTCTGCAAGAATCTCAGGACTGTGCTCCTTGACAACAACCTGCTGGATGCTTTACCTGGATTCCTGCTTCAAATGCCATCAATACAAACCGTCCATCGCCATGGCAATCACAACTATTTCAAAGCCACGTTCATGTGGTACCATACTGACGTGAACTACAGGATAATACCGGTTGCTGGTAGTAACGACTGTAATCTGTATCGCAGCTATGAACGACTTCAGTTCTGGGCTGCCAAGGCTGTGATCAGTTCTAAGAAGGACTTCTTCTGTGACAATTCTGTAGCCCCAGTGTTGAAGGACTACATTTCGGATATCTATGACTTTTTTCATATCTGCAACTACTGCAACAAGGCTCAGCTTGGACACTTGCAAGGTTGGTGGTTTTGTATTCATTTTCAGTGTTCATTTGGAAATGGTTTTTCATCTTTCATGTCTTGTTGAGATAAATTAGAACCTACCAGGATTTCCTGTATTATTTCCGAAATTAAGCCCATGGGCACATCAGTATTTACAACATTCAGAGAGCAATCAGGGGATTCCATGTGCTTAGGACTCACTGGAAACCAGAGACAGGTCAGATACTTGACCACTTAATAACAGACCACCCGTGAAAATTCAGGATAGACTTGGCAGTTTTTATCAAGCTGGAAAATATTTTAATCAGAAATATTCTATGAGGGCAGAGAATCAGTCATTTCCCGTTCAATGGTGCATCTCTTTCTTGAGTTGATAGTTTTGTTTTTAGTTGTTAATTGTCTAGTTTTTAAGTTATTAATCTTGTGTGTCAGAGCTTTTAAATAAGTTAGGAATCAAAATATACTATATGTATAATTTAAATAAGTTACAACAATACTTTCTTTTGTGGCCTAAGGTTATTGTGTATTTTTTCCACTTTGAACATATATCATCAGATGTATTGAACATGTTTAATATGAATAAGAAATCTATTTTTTTTCTATCTTTTTTTCTAGGATATAAAGTGATAACGTTTAAAAACCCATATTTGGGCAACACATGTGTGCCATTCCAACACTGGGCATGCTCACGTGAGTGTGCGGAGAAACTGGAAGTGCCAGCACGTAAAGAGCAGATAGCAGCTGCTCAAGAACTTGACAGGCGATATGATGAGTATGTCATGGAGTGTCACAAGAAGTTCTATTCCCGCCGAGCCCATCCTGTGTTATCATGTAGCTCGGGGTCTTTATCGGAAGCAGTCAATCAGATTCAGACAACTGAGACGAGCGCAACAGTGAGCGCTGCAACCACTCCTGAAGATACCACCAAGTGTCAGTGTTCCGTGTCATGATGGCGGAGACATGTTTAGGACACACACAGAAGATTCTAAACCTGTATGTCACAGTGGTGACATCATTGTGTTGACTATACATCGCACAGTTCCAGGTAACCATGGTAACACAGGGCAGCTTCTCAAATGTGTTTGACTATTACCATGCTTGTGAAAGTCTTACATTTTCAAATCTTCCATATTTCCATTTTGTCATTCTTTATGAATTATGAATTTAATTACCACCTTTTGTTTGACAGAACTAAGTATACATAGAAACATCATGTATGTCCTCGGTTCAGTGAACTGTGGTAACCATGGTAACAGTATTTCCATGATATTTTGTATGATGAGGTGTGAATCATTGCTTTAGATGTTCTTAATGTTGCAATGGAGAGATAGTACATAGATGTGTTGGACCAAACTTGTAGCTTTACTGTTGTACGATTTCACAGCAAACATGACTTATCATGCTGGCCACTCAGTACTTACACTGCTTCCTACTGCTTTAGTGCTTGCATTTGGAAATATGACACTTGAGAGATAGGTTTGTAGACATGTATCCATCCGAAATCCAACATACAGCCTAACCAGCTGCCCATTAACCAACTTAGTGTCCATTTTGAACAATGCTCGTGACCATGTTGAGAATGTACAGAGGGAACAGTTCATTGAGGACATGAAGTCTGTCTCAGAGTTTCGGAACCAAATCACTTTCCGGCCCAGCCCTTACTGTCAGGCTAAAGCTCTAAATGAAGCAAGTCTAGATTTTCACGGGTTCAGAGTCTTTAATCTCACTATGGCTCCTTCAGTTTATATGTTGTGTCTTGTTTCTATCCAAATGCTGTTAATTTTGAGTTGCTTGAACATATGCATGAAAGAAGAAAACCATGTATGTCTTACCTGTTCATTTAAGGATCAAAATACCCAACACACTGGACTCAAGGCAGTGCAAAATCCTATCAAAAACTATCAATACTCAAAGTGAATGATAACATGTCAGTAGATCTATGGAGCCCTGTGTATGGTATGTGTGTGGATACAGCTGTAGATGTTGACCGTGAACAAAGCTTGTCTCTGCTGTTGTGCATAAAGTATTGTGTGAAATCAGTATTTCCTGACTGTCTCAAGGGGCATCTTATGCTAAAAAATATGCACCTTGAATTATCTGTGATAACTTTAAAACAACCATGAGTGATGAAGCTTGAGACATATTTCCTTATTGTTGCAATATATTACTTTGGACTTATTGATATTATGCTAATATTATTCAATAATTGTTTAAAAATTTTAATTTGTCATCAAGATCTTACTACATCTTCACATGATCACCATTTTGTCAAATTGGAATTTTTATTGAGTACGCAATGACAATTCACTAAGTCCCCCCACATAGTTATCTCCCATGGTAACAGACACACAGTCTCCTGAGGGAGACTGGTTTAAGATCCCTGGTTTAAGATCATCATTTCTTTTTTAAATGCTTGTGAGCTGAATTATATTTTCCAGCATAAAAAGGTGCTCAATTAGTTTGTTTTGTTTTTTGAGATAAATCAAAATACAGAAATGCATCTTGTAGATTTTATTTCACTCTATGTCAATTTAGTTTACAATGTGAGGCATGTGTAATTATTTTTCAGTAAAATAGGTGCCTGATTATTGTTTTAGACAACCCCCAAAAACAAAACAAACAACAAAAAATTAAATGGTTGCTCCCTAAGCCATCTTAGCCAGCAATGGGAGCAATGTTACTATTCAGATACCTTTTTATCACAGGATAGATATGATGAGTTACGACTGCCCTCCTGCAGTGTATGAAATAAGGCCCATCCGACCGCCCAAGATGGGCTAGATTTCTGACGGGCGGTCCAAATTTACAGCCAGCCAGCAGGATGGTCTGGTAATTTCTTTTAGATATTCCATACATCTGAGTAAATTCACCATATCTAGGTGTCTGGTCTGGTTAAATCCATTTTGGGCTGGTAACATTTTGAAGTTACCAGCCCTGATGTCTGGCTGGGTTTTGTTCTTATATCATACACTGCCTACTGCTCAACTTAAAATCTCTGATCCCTTTAACACCATACCTGGCAGACACAAGCAGCAGTTACCAAAATATTCCAAATGTTTCTTTATCATTTTTTAACAATATTAAATTTCATAACCTTATTTCTATTACACATGCAATAAAGTCTCTTCAAGACCAGCAGGTTATACAGACTTTATACACCTCGATCTGGCTCTACATTATGTGATATCACTACGCAAGTCTTACATCAAGTGATGTGTCAGTAAAATAAGTGTCAAAGGGCACAGATATAGTTAAAGGCTAGAAGTGCCCTCGTTCTACAAAGCTATCTTAACACAAAGACGGTCGTAACTCCCTTACTTAAACCAAGACATTAACATTGTCTTACAACAGTTGTAGTAGTAACCATGGTAACTTTGCTTTGTGGAACTATGAAGAATGGTAATGTCAGGTTCTTGCAGAGGTACCATTGTAACATGTTGTGTATTTCATGCTATGCTGTTATTGTCAGTGCAAAACCTTTGAAAGCAGTTCAACTAATCATTGCCGAGCATGGATTTTTTCATTTGCAATATTTTGTTTCCATGGTTGTCAAGGAAACTAAAAAAACTACTTGCAATTTTGGAGTCTCATTGTACTATTTGTATGTATTATTTGATGTTTGTATATTGATTGCAAGAAAGTGTTGGATGTTTGTGTGTTTGTTTTGCATACCTTAGTGCTATGGTTGTTGTTTGTTTAAGAACTAGTAGCAGCAGCCTCTTTGTGTAGATAATTACAACCAGAAAACGTGCAGGATGGACTATGTGTATTGTAGTTACCTGTAATAGCTAAGGCTGTAATAAATTAGTAATTAATTTCTTAATAATCTTGCCCTCCTACCTTGAAAAATACAACACTGCTTTTGTTATCCATGGCAATTATTTTCAGTCTTTAACCTTACTGTTATGGGAAATATATGATTAACTGGTAATATTCGGTAATATATTGGTTTCAGTTAGAATTAGTCATAAATCATATTTACAGCCTTTAACATTTGATAAACGATAACCATGTATACTGTTATGACTCATTTATCCCTTGTTTAGCTAGTCTCAAATCTTCAGGTGGCCAGTGAATTTGAAGTTTTTCAAGAAAATGATGCTACTATATTGTGCAGACAATCAAGTTAAGGTGTTGTGAGTTGACTTTCATCTTAACCTCCATAAATGTTCCAAGTAGATATTCTGTATGTTCTGAATTAACACTCCTTATTGTATAAAGTTAAATATTTGAAAGACAGTTTTCATTGCAGAAAACTGGTGCTTAAAGGTACAGGAATAAACGAGAAAAACATGGTTCAAGGGATGAGGGACATATTTTAAGAGCTGGTTGTTTGTATTTGTTTGGCAGCATTCTTTGAAAATTGTACATGGGATATTAAACTGTACCAGATTTTACAGTATAACTGTGATCATAAGAAAACACATGTACAAATGTAAATAATTAACTGGTTGTAACATTCTGCATTATTTTCATCCATCTGAACGGAAGTGAAAAGACTTACTTATCTCCCTTGTCCAAATTTGCACACTCCCTTCTTTTCAGGCCCCAGTACTTCCAGAAAGGAACGGTACAGAAGCCTCTCTTTAAGTTTTCCTCAATGTTTGAACGGTTTATTGAGATTCTCATTAAGGATACAAGCCGATGGGGTATCCTAGTGGTTAAAGCGTTCGACTGTCACACCCAAGACCCAGATTCGATTCCCCACATGGGTACAATGTGTGAAGCCCATTTCTGGTGTCCTCCGCCGTGATATTGCTGGAATATTGCTAAAAGCGGCGTGAAACTAAACTCACTCACTCACTCACTCATCAGGATACATTTCTATCAAGTTGTATGCCTTATGGTTCATACCAGATGATTGAGCTGATTTGTAAGTCGTTTCAAACATTTTGGTATTTCACTCATTTCTGTGCCTTTGAGATGTAAAATACTGTTTGTTTGAGGACATACTGTTGTCCGGACCAGGAAGATGAGAAATGTTTGTGCTTCTGTCAAACATCGAGATGGAAGAATAATCATTCAGAATGTGGTAACAGCCTTATTTATTATTTAATTAGATTTAACAAAAAATTTTTTGCACAAATCAAATTGCAACTTGACAAATAAAAAGTTTGGAAAAAAAACAACGAAAGATAAGTTTTAGAAAGCAGCACTTTTTATTGGTAGAACCCTAAGTGTGACTGACTTGGCACATATAAGAACAGAGTTCACTTTTAACTTCTGTTCACTTCTAAAAGACATTCCATGCAGTGTTAAATCTAGTCAGCGATACACAATCATTTTGTCATTGAGCTCATCTGGAGTAGTTTGTGTTGGAGAAAGTCTATGACATTATCATTACCGGTACGTTTTGTCACTGGGCTTAGATCTGTGATCTGATTGGTTGATAATGTAAACATGTTTGACAGGGACACTTTTGACAGAAAATACCTTTTGTATTCCAAGAGAGCTTGTAACCATTTCTATTTTGTGATCTACATTCAGCTGTACAAAGGAGAGCAATAACCATTTCAGTATTCTCTGTCTCAATCATTGTTATTAGTTCATGTGACTTAATGTCAGGTGAGCTTGTCACAGCCTGCTTGTCCAGCATTATTGTCTTCTCCTCAGAAACCACTGGACCATTTAATATAAAACTTTCAATGCTTGTTCCAAAAATGTCACATTTGTTTCAAGAGATTCAAATTCAGTTTTCCATGTTGCTGCCATGGCAACGGTGACTGTTGACAAAATGACCATGTGTGCTTCAGTAAAAAAGTTACTGTTATTGATGACACAGACTTTGATTGTCTATAAATATTGTATTTTGCAGACCTATGGTAACAGGAGTAATTCTATCATATTAAAGTAACAATGGTAATAGGATGTTTCATTTCAGACATGCACAGCTGATGGAAGCCATCATGCAGTGGCTGGAAGACCTAGAATGACATGTGACCCAATACATGTTTATCTATATAGAATAGACAATGGTCTTATAACCATCAGTTGAGAGAACTAAAAGTAGCACGTCAATGAAAGCCTCAGTTTGATATTATGCAGTGTTTGGAATGAGGGTTTGATGGCTACCTTTAACATTTTATATATTTATCGTATACAATAATTCATATTTGGAAAAAATCTGATTTAGACATAAAATCACCTGATTTTTATAATTAACATGCTTTTTCTGTTGGCAGTATACAAATAACGGTCATTCTGTTATGATTTTTTTTCGCGGGGCAGTGTGGTAGCCTAGTGGTTGAAGCGTTCACTTGTCACGCCGAAGACCTGTGTTCATGGGCACAATGTGTCAAGCCCATATCTGGTGTCGCCCACCGTGATATTGCTGGAATATTGCTAAAAACCTGCGTAAAGCTAAACTCACTCACTTACTCTGATTTTTTAAGGTTGGATCCATAGACAAGCAAAAAGAAAATGTAAGGCTGAAGATTTGAGGCATAGTAAAAGGAGTAAGAATATACTCTGAAAGGTTCCTCATAATACAGAAGTTCACTTCCATAAATCCACCCCATTATGTTTAACTTACAAATGATATTCAGAGATTTTAGAGACACTGTGTTGTAACACTGAGGTACGGCTGGGACGGGTAACCCGGATACCCGGGACGGGTGGGTAATGACTAGGACCCAGGTACCTGTCTCAATACCCGGACCCATTATGATCATGTGACTAATAGATTAAACAATGTAAGATGTTATTCTTTCATGATTAAAAGGTTGTATTGTCTTTGAAGATTTAGAAATAATTTACAGTCATTTCTTTTGAATAAATTACATGGTAAAGATATTGAAAAACTCAAAAATTTAGCCTCCGAGCTGAAGAATATATTGCCATTTCTTGCAAATTGGATGTCAGGAATTTGATATCTACGGGTATCCGAGTAGGGTAGGGTAGGGTACCGCGGTAATAGGAGGTGGGGTACCCGGGTAGAAAATTTGGAGCTGTCTCAGCCCTACACTGAGGTCATATTAGTTCCTATATATATCACTGATATGCTATGTATTGTAATCAGGATGTTCATTACATTTGTACAGAATATATTCAGAGGATATATCATAATGTTGAGAAACCATAGATATTAGTAAAGAAATGTCATTGTTTAATGAAGAGAGTTGCATTACATTGTGTTAGAAACATGACCATAGTATGCAATATGGGATGAATTAATCAGAATCCTAGAAGGTTTTATTTTTAGACTTGATGTTACAGTTGCAATTTTCCAAATAGTAATGTATATTTAAACATGTTGAAAGGATGGTGAAATAATATCTTTGTAATATACACTGTTTGTATATATGTAATTTATTGTGAATATTACAAAGTGCCAAATCTATGTGTGCATTAGTAATTCCAGTTTCATGCTGATTTCGCTTGTGCTGCTTGTTTGTGCAGTGTAAATGGAGACAGATTGCTACAATTTTATGTTTATTTCTCTGTTATTGGGTTAGAGATAGAGTTGTCCTTTCACAAAGGGAGAACATCCTCTTTTTCCTCCTATTATGTGTCTGAAAGAACCCAAACAGATTGTTGTTGAGGGTAACCTTTTGCCTGATACTGTTCTGGCTGAATTCCTGAATACCTCCAATGGCCGTCTGCTTCATTTTGGAGCGACCTTGGCAGATGTAATAAAAGTCATATAGGTATACACATCTTCCCTGCTAACAAGAAGACTACTTAAAAGTCCTGCAGCTTGTGAACCCATACTTAGTTTGATATCAGACTGAACTAAATCTACATGTCCTAAATATTTGGTAAGAATTACATTTTGATGATGTGTAAAGTTTTGCTTTTGTCTGGCATTTTGTCCTGTTTATATGGAGAACATATTAACCCCTTCTATGAGTAGTATATTTTTTTCCTTTTCATGGGCTTAACACTTTAACTTAATACTTCACCTGCAGTCATATGATGGTTGCCTTGTATATGCTACTCACACTTTGCTAAGGATCACAAAAATTCACAACTTTACTTAACGTAGATTCATAATTTGATATTGTATCCATTAAAACTGGATAAATAATAAAATGGTAACCCCCCTTTATGCAAACAGTCACTTTAATCTAGTCTTATGCACTTGATACATGAGTAACCATCAAATGGTTTTCATGGCACCAACCAACCATTTTGCAAATCATGGAACTAGTCATTGACAAGTACACAACACCTATCAATAGCAGTTATGGGTTCCACAAGATGAAATGACATACTGAAACTTAGGATCCATGCTTATAATAAGCTTAGATGTTTCAACCAATTTTGAACCCACATCATAGTTTTCTGTTGAATCCATGATTTCATCCTAAGCAAAGTGTGAATAGTGTATGTGAACGTGGAAGCAGTTGTAGCGAATATGTTACCTTGCTCCAGTTGAACCAGCCAGTGATTGGGTAATTTCAATAGTTGCCATCTTTGTGAACAGCCATTTTGATGACAATAATTTTGATGATTATCTAATCTTATTCAGCATTATAAACTAGTTAGTTATGAAGTTATTACAGTATCAATCTGATGTGGAATGTTAAACAAAAAATTGTCAGATATCCATCCTTCATGTCGTAATTGATGCAATAAAGACCATGAGTTTTCTCATGCAAGCCATTGTCTTAACTCTTGTTAGGGACTTTTCATAATTTATGGCTAGGGGAGGTTGATGATGATTTTAAGGGGGTCACCCATTTTGTTCTGGGGAGGTAGGGGGGTCATCAATTTTGTAAACATGTACTTGCAGGGTGTCAGCAATTTTGTACATAGAAATATTCAAAAAGTATGCTTAAAATATTTGGGGCACTTACTTTGTACATAACTTTTAGGGAAGGGGGTGTCATTCACATTGTACATGCTTCTCCATAAAATCATTACCACCCCACTAGCCATAAATTATGAACAGTACCTTAGAATAAATTAGTTGATATTATGAAATATAACAAGACCACAAATATATGTGTCAAAATTATTGAAGTATGTTAAATGTTGAAGCCTTGTATCTGTTATCACTTCCAGGTGTGGTCACTGTAGAAGTAATGTAATGGCGACTGACTGAAGGTGGTTGTTTGTCTTTGTAGGGAAGTAACATCCCTGAGGCACTTTAGAAAGTTCTGGAATCTGATTGATGGATATTGTAAACAGCTGATTTAGCAGTGTTGAATGTTCGTAGACATAAGTAGATAGTATCTTATAACTTCTCATTGACCACGATTACAGTCAACTATCATGGTAATCTTAACAGGGATGGCAATTTTCCACTGATCCCCGGATTTTATTTCAAATTGTTCAATTGTGAATTGTCTAAATCCATTGAGAAACCCTCAATTCGACACAATATTAAGTTTTCAGCTGAAAATAGATTTTCCTGTTGCTATCCCTGTCTTAAGGATGATGTAATCCTGCCAACTTCCTCTGTTATAGACGGGGTAAGACTTCCGCCCGTATCCCCCCTATATTTTAACGATGAGGATAAATTTCATTGAGAGGCATTTTCAGAAGTTGGATATGTCTTTCAGTACGTTCAGATTCAATCAAAGAAACATGTCAAAACTCATCCTTATCAGATGAGGAATTCAGGTGATATGATTTGACTAGAATTAAATATAAGGGGGGATACGGGCGGAAGTCTTTCCATAGAAGGAGCCCTGCATGAACATTCCATGTGGCTGATAACTGTTTTACTCATGGGTAATCTGTGCAATCCTGATGACTTACATTGGTGATACACATTAATACTTCACGGGATTGTGTACACTACGTTCCTTCACCATGGAAGTGTATGTGGAGAAATGCACAATAATTCAGTGCTTGCTGTCTGTGAATCGATAGTCTGATGCAATGATTATGAATTCTCATGACTGAATATCAACTGTAGTGCAATAAATATTTAAAATACAATTTTGAATGGATTGGAAGAGTTTATGTATTTTGGAGGTGATAATATCTAGTTACATGTAAATGTATTGATACTTGTGGAATTGCCTGAGCCTTTAATGTGTTGTTCCATTTAACAAAACAAAATGTGTTCAATGTTTTGATCTGACAGATTAGATTTTATGGAAGTTGTCATGCAGTTTTTCCATAGACAGTTTTGATATTTTTGACAATATTTTGCAAATGTTATGAGAATGAATTCACAGCTTAAATGATTCCTATTATGATAAATAAATCTGTTAATAAATATATTTACATAATATTTATGAAAAAAGTGTGAGGAACCACTGTTGATTTAAATATGAATGTAAATGTTGTGATTCATATTCATATTCCCGGACTCTAATGTTGATCAAGTGTCGCAAATGGTCCATCTTTAAACCAAGTTGTGACTACATCAATGAAAATGTGCCTACTGTCTGGCTTATTTAGTGTTAACTTAAACCCATGTTTAGGCCTTACATTTGTGTGACTCTAAATGTCTGTATTAGTGAATGTATGGAGAAATGGAGATCTCGCTAGTGCGTTACTGTATCAGCAGTGTTAGATCTCCTGGCCAACAACCAGCAGGCTAGGAGAATACAAGTGTCACAAAAGGCATTTCATGAAAATATATGTATAGAAATTAAAACAATTCAAATCAAATTGTCTGTTTTGTATTTTATGCAACATCTCTGAAGACTGTTTCAGACAAGTGGTGAGCGATTTGGGATTGAGACTGCTTTGAAAAATCAAATCACAGTTTGTGGGTTAAATGTGGGAAAACGTTAACAGCAGCTCCTGGCACAACTAAGGGACACAATTGTGTTACCCATAACCACTGGGGGCTAGTTGGGTTGCCTTTGGCTAAAGCGTTTCCTCGCCGCGCTGAAGACCCGGGTTTGATTCCCCACATGGGTACAATGTGTGAAGTCCATTTCTGGTGTCCCCACCATGATATTGCTGGAATATTGCTGAAAGCGGAATAAGACCATACTCACTCACTCCAAAGGGATTATAGAAAAATGAGTCAGTATGACTGTAGGAAAATATGTTTATTTCCTCTTCATCACCAATCAAGCATATGACATCACTTGAAATCTCAACTGATTACAAGTTGTAAGGTCAGTGCATCTAATGCTCGTTATGGAAACCACCATGCCGCAATGAAAGACTCGCACATAATCATACCAAGTTTAATCAGTTAACTTCTCTTGACCCACTTGTACAGAATGATCTTATCACTGAAAGCGTTATAACAAAAACTTACAGCAGATTGCAGGGCAAGGATCACTTGTGCTTGTAGGCCCTGGTGACTAGTACCCAAATTTCATGCAATTCATTTACACCTACTCTCTAAAATGTTATGATAACTATGTCTATGAAAACAAATCCAGTGATATTTAACAGAACCCCTCTGAAATGTTACCAAAAAGAATCTTGTAAATGAATGCCAATTGATTAGTCTGTGAACGCCTGTACAATGACAACCCATCTATGGTGGCTAGTGCTGCAGACATATATTAGATTTGTACAATATATACATACGATTCAGTGGATACTTACAATGAGAGTATTAACTTACACTGTACATGACAATATTACAATCCCACAGTAAGAAACCACTACCCACCTCCATACCCTAGCTGACGCCAATAACTGAAACTTAATGCTTAACTCTACAGCCCTCTATATTAAGTTAATAAAATACTGTGAACATTAACAATTGTAAATTCTAAAACAGATACTTAAAACTTGCATATGTTGCATAGTATTGAACCACGACTGGGATCATGCAGACTGACTAAAAATGTCGATCAACTGAAGTCATTGATGAAATTATAATCAGTTTTAAGAGAAAGTATTTTCATTAAACAAAACTTTAATACAAAATTCATCAACACTGCTACTGAATAGCAAACAGCTTTTATGTTTTTACCAAATGTTTACAACCACCAACTGGGTCCTGATCCACAAAGCGTTTGTAATGTTACGAGCTATCGTAACTTTTGTTTGTCATAGGCTTACGAATGACGTAGAACTACGAACACTTTGTTAATCGGGCCCCTGGTCCTGTATAGATTGTGTACTAAAAAGATTTTGGGTCTTCCTCTGATTATGATATGTTTTAATAATTTAAAGTTACATAATATGACATCATTTGGTCCAGGCTTGTCGGTTTTCACACAAAATGCAATGTTATTGAAATAGCAAAATGCTGTTTTCCTGTCATAATGGTACAGGTAAAAGATTAGTCTTATGTGGTTGAAAGTCTGTTTCTCTTAGTTGACATCCCATGACTCATCACTTTTACTACTCAAAAGAAGGTACGGATCAGCTGATTCTTTCCGATAAACTAAAGTAAAATGAGAGAACCTGGTGGTCCTTAACTTTTGTTGAGTAGTATATGAACAATACACTAACTAATCTATTATCATCTTGAGCCAAGAACATCTTTAAGAATTGCACTGGAGTTCTGTGGTGTGGACCTGCCAGATCCGCCCTGACTGAGCGCGTCACCTGACATGGGTGCGATGAGTGGATTGGTCTGTGTGACGGGAGACATGGACGCCATTAGGATGTGGGGTTTGGTGGTAGCCGTCTGCTCCCCAACATGCAAGGGCATGGACACATGTCTGGGGGCGGGTGAACGGGTTGAACACTGGCTTCTGGCCCTCCTTGTGTTTGTCTGTAACCTCCTGGGCCATCTTCTCGGCTGGCATCCGGACTGGGGGCGGAGGAGGAGATGATTCTTTCTCAAGGAACTTGACAAACAGCTGGGAGAAAGACTGAAAATGACATTACAAAAATGAAATGAAATTATTTTCAAATAATACAACATCCTCTTTCTGTTCATACATGTCTACAAAATACTTTGAATTTTGCAGTCAATCTTTCAGCCATGTTTCTATAACACCAGGACAATGATGAGACTTAGGATCTTGACACAAACTGCCATCATTTATCAATACCTTTTTAATACTATGACCCTCATAAGAAAAACAACAGGTACCTTCTATAAACTTGAATGAGTGAGTGAGTTGAATTTTACGCCGCTATTAGCAATATTCCAGCAATATCACGGCAGAAGGACACCAGAAATGGGCTTCACACAAACTTGAATGAGATCAGCTTTTAGCAATACTTCAGCAATATATCATCAAGGAAAACCAAACAATTGTACTTGAGTAGAATTAAACCAGTGTCCTTCTTGTGATGAGAGAACACCTCAACCACTTGGCTACTCTAACAGTTCAGTTCTGCAGGACAGTTTACTACTTCAACCAGTGAGATGCCCATTTGTTATCGCTCCAACCACAAGTCCTTCAAGAACAACTAATAGCTCACCTGGTCCAGTGAAGGTGCCTTCCTGCCTCCACGTTACAGGTGTTGTTGGTGGGGTGGGGCCTGACCGAGGAGACCCAAATCGGAGGAATCCTGCTACCCAGCTGGACCGATTCAGATCAATCTATGGAAGAGAGGGTCAACACTTACAATTTATTCCATACAATCAGATCAATATGTGTGTATTTTATTATGACCTTCTCTAAGGCCCTCCCCCAGCCCGTGATACCATATGAATTTTCACTTGACAAATAAACAATACTGTACATGTTAAATAGGAATGTGGGTATTCAGCATTATTAACTCAACCTTCATGAATACAAAATCATTAATTTTAGGAGGATCATGTAAAAAATGTGTAAAGACATAGGGGAGGGTCATTCATACAAGCAATTGGGTAGGGTAATTATTTTCAAAACCCTCAGACATCACAACACACTTCATATATGACCAGTCCCTCTACACAGACCCTTAATAAATGACATGTTCCTCTACATGAACACTTAATCTATGACAGGTCCCTAAACTGTCCCGGATTGGGAGAACTTTTCCAGTGAGGTGTTCATTAGGCTGCATATGGCACATTTTAGAAGGAAGTTTGACAGTGCCTTGACAGGGAATGATTTCTGCATAAAACAAGTTTCTTTAGACCTGTACCATAGAAATCGGTTCGAAGTAGTTCTGCATTGTCTTCAACTTTTGTTAACTGTCTTCTTACCTTCGCATAGTCATCGTGCTGGAAGTTGAGGACCCCACCCATCATGTGAATGACCTCATTGCGTTGATTAGATGGTGTTTGGAAATAGCCTATCAGCATGTTCTTCATCAACAACCTGACCACAAAACAAACAGGATGAGTGAGGAGTTGGGTTTAATACTTTATTTGTGCGGAATGCCTGAAGTGATGCTGGTCTCTGACATTTAACACTTTGCAGAAGCCAACAAGCAGGGGTATGTCGGTGACAGACATCATGAGGAAGAACTAGGATTGAACCCACAAGGGAAGTAACTCTGCACAGCACAGTAGCAGACAAGATAAATACCAACAATTCCTCTGTGTGAGTGAGTATGTCTGATGGATGGATGAGTGTATTGGGTTTATCCTGCTTTCAACAATATTTTAGCTACAACATGGTGTGCTTGCTTGATATAGGTCAAAGGCCAATTTAGCACTAAATATAATAATGGTGAATCCTTAATTTAAAATTGTGATCATAGGTTTACATCTAAGGGACTGACTATTTCTGACTACTCACTTGTCCACCTTGGCCTCTGTACTTGTTGTCAGCTTCCTGATTTCCTCCTCTGCTGCCTTTAGAGACTTCTCTCGTAGCAGGACTGTAAATAAGAAGTGCTGTGTCAGCACCTTACTACAATAACAGCTCAATGAATCGTCTATGATGAATAAACTTACGCATTATTATTCAGTAGCAAAATTATTCAGTAATGTGCTTTACATAAGGATATCAGCAATAACAAAAGAATTGAAACATACAAATGATTTACATAACAAACGGTGAGAAAACAAGCAATGAAAGACAGAAGGCAAAAAATTAGCCAACCAAGGATCATCTGGTGGGCTAGGGTAGGGAGAAGGCAGGCAGGCAGGCACTGAACAACCAGGATCCTCTGATCGCCAAAGGGAGGTAAGTCTCCATGCTGAGTAGAACAACTACATCTACACAATGTGAACACGGTGCTGCTGCTGCTGTTGACATACAAACTACGAATATCACAATAGGTACTGACACTCATCCCTTCAGTACCTGATGTAATACTCATGGTTTGTACATCCAACTTAGCTCATGCGGTGATCAGGCCAGACAACACACTGTGGCAGCAGCGGCGGCGGCCATCTTGACTTGCCGTGATAAGCTGTGTCGGTGGCCAGTGGCTACACTGGAGAGGTGCTAGTGTTAGACTGGAACAATCAAATGTTCCTCTACTGCACTGACTATGGTGTATACAGAGAGTCGAGACTTCAGGGATGGTTCTAACAAGCATATGAAGACAATACCAATTTTACATCATGAACATTCACAGTTTTACCACATATGTCTATCCTCACATTTTACAATCAAATCCATATTAACACCTAGGTAATATATTCTCTAATTAAATTATGGCCATCTCCATCCAAATTACTGAAATAATTCCATTGGTGATATATTACTACAAATACTGTTATAATCAGTATCAACATACCTACACAGGATGATATATGTGTTATCGCTCCTGGTTCACTGAAACATCTGTTATACAATAGCTGTCTAAATGTTTACACATATAGATACTTTGTTACAAGTGTTTACAGCAGGTACATATCTGTTAGTTGGGCACTACAGTAACCTGTTAGGCTAACCGTGTTAGTGTAACCAGCCACCAAGCACCACACATTTGAAAACATACTTACAACAGAACGTTCATGCATGTTGTGGACAACCAGGGAAGAAATCTCTCATGTCCTAACTCACTCCATTTCTCATGCAGTCTTGTAATGATATTCAGTTCAGAGCATGGACAAAGGTCAAGCTCCCAAATTTCTACTTTACACAAATACAAGTACAATACAGACAAAGAAATACATGCTGTTCCAAAACCCTGGTCAATCAGCCATGCTATTTTACACCAACCAATGACAACATGCGTCTCTGCCAGATGGTTCCCTCCACAGGACTGCAACATATTGTCTCGGCCATGCTGATTGGTCAGTTGTTAGGATAGGTTAGTCCATGCCGATCGGTAAGATATTTATGTAATCTCGGCTAGTAACTTGAGGCCTTCTTTTTACTCAGAATTACCAGCTGAGATTAGACAAACATCAACACATGCAAGCCCTTTCATTCGAGCATAAAACATGCACAATTTTTGTCTACTGGGCCAAAGTTCCTACAGATTTTGTTTTAGAAATTTCAATAATTTAGATTATATATCAAAATCATATTTCAAATCAATGTCCAATATAAGCCTACAAGATCGAATGTGATGTTTGCCTAATAAAACATAAATGCTGCAAGACACTACTTTTGATTAACAACTGAACAATGGATGAACAATGATAGACATTCAATGAGAGATGATACGTAGAGGCGCTATCTGCCCGTTGTGACGAGGAATACAAGTACCCGTTTGCCATATATCAGTCAGCATCCTGAGGCGTCAATCTCTCAGGATTACCAGCTGATATTAAGAAACCAGGCTTATAAAGGCAAAATCTGTAATCTTCTCCAAGAAATACTAAAAAATTTGACGGAATCACCCCAAACCCAGAAATTGCAAAATTTTCTGTGCACACTCAAAGCAAGCAAATCTTGATTTAAAAATTGAAAAAAGAAAACACTGCTGTGTGCAATTTCAAAAAGTTAAAGCCAAACAACTTTGTGAGAAGCAAATCTAAAATAGCTCTGTCACACAGGAAGCACCAAACAGGGCAGTTAGCAACTCAAAAAAGGTTGAAAAAATGAGCGTAAGAAAATAATGAGAGAGGAATGAAACAAGTGAGTAAAGCAATTAAATGTTGTGAAGCCAGGATATCTATCCCACCTCAGCCAGGCTCTCGAGAAACGAGAGACTCGGAATTACCAGCTGAGATTAAATAGACTCCCGAGGGACAAAAATCCAAAAAGACGGGATGCTGGAAGCTTCGATTTCATCAACAAGAAACATCAGCTCCTTGAATCCAATGGTTGAACACCCAGTTCAGCTTTAGTGTCAGTGTTAGTGTCATGATCTAAGCCAGTACCTTGAACTTTCAGATGTGTAGCCCCCATGCTAGTTGATGTTATTGCACCCAGTGCTCAGCTCATGCAGGGTCACATACACGATATATCCATGCAGTATCCGGTCAATATAACACGTAACACTCATCTTTAGTGTTTTTATATACAGTGCTCATTCAGTAACAACAGACTCACAACACTATACTGTTGCTGCCACAACTGATTGGGAAATGTTATGCATATCTCATTATAAAGGGATAAAGTCAAAGAATCTATTCTTCAATAGTGAAGTTAAAGTATGGGTGTTAAAATCACTTTAGCGTTATGATCCCTTTAAGGATCAAGCCAAAATGTTTCTTGTCATTGCGTCTTGTTGAAAATTACATTTATTTTATTTTCCTTCACTTTTAAATATTAGTTACACATTATTTACCTAAAAAGATTTTTTTTAAACTTATTTCATATCAAAACTTATGCCTGTATAATTTCACAAATATTTTAAACAGATTTTTGTAAATTCCGACGTTGAACAGCCCTTCTGACAGAAGTGCCATGGTTAGTGAAGGAGCACAGTTGATGTTAGAGATAAGGAGAGGTTAGAGCCACCAGAAACTGGAGAGAACATCAAACACCTACCTTCCTCCTTCAATGCAGCTACAGCCTCCTCCTTCTTGTCCAGCTGTTCACTCAGACGAGATGCTGCCTCCAGTCCATCTGATGCCTCCTCTAGCTCACTCTGTAATAGTTGTAAGGCAAATAGTACATGAGAAGCGAGAACATTGTTTGTTGGGACAAAGTTGACTAAGTTTTGATTTACTGTATGGAGGCAGATTGGAGTGTTTTCATTGATATTATACCACTCTGGGTAAAAAAAGAAAAAGTGTGCTGTGTCACCATTTCTAGAATCACATCTATCTTCTGCAAGTGAAGTCCATCATCAGAGTTCTAGAGTAGAACTGGTCCAAAGATCATATGGTGTAAGTGGTGTACCTTGCAAGAAGCAACCAACTTGTTTGGGTGGAAAGGATCAGCGATCTGGCTGACAGCCAGTGTGATGTTGGACTCTAGCATTAATCACTAGATTGGTGTGAGGTAGCTTGAGTTATACATTATAGGAAAAAGACAAGAAGACTGAGAACCACATACCTGTGTAGTGTCAAGTGTTCTCTGTAGTGTGTTCATCTTGTCTTTCAGGATCTTTATCTCATCTTGGTACCTCTCAGTGTCGGCAGAAATCTGAGCATCTTTGTCTGCAACAAGCATATCTAAATGTCATGTACATGTGCCACATTATTCAAAACAATATCAAACACTATGGTATTGACATGTATTATAACATGACGCTCAATACTGCCCTTTACCAACCTGCTGCCAAGAAACCACCCTGTGATGGCAGAGCTACCCACCCTGTGATGGGAGAGCTACCCGCCCTGTGATGGGAGAGCTACCTGCCCTGTGATGGCAGAGCTACCCACCCTGTGATGGCAGAGCTACCCGCCCTGTGATGGGTGAGCTACCCACCCTGTGATGGGTGAGCTACCCACCCTGTAATGGCAGAGCTACCCGGCCTGTGATGGGAGAGCTACCCACCCTGTGAGAGCAGAGGTACCCACCCTGTGATGGGAGAGCTACCTATCCTGTGATGGGAGAGCTACCCACCCTGTGATGGGAGAGCCACCCACCCTGTGATGGGAGAGCTACCCACCCTGTGAGGGAGCAGAGCTACCCACCCTGTGATGGGAGAGCCACCCACCCTGTGGGATGGCAGAGCTACCCACCCCTGTGATGGCAGAGCTACCCACCCTGTGATGGCAGAGCTACCCTCTGTGATGGGAGAGCTACCCACCCTGTGATGGGAGAGCTACCCACCCTGTGATGGGAGAGCTACCCACCCTGTGATGGGAGAGCTACCCATCCTGTGAGGCAGAGCTACCCACCCTGTGATGGCAGAGCTACCCACCCTGTGATGGGAGAGCTACCCACCCTGTGATGGGAGAGCTACCCACCCTGTGATGGGAGAGCTACCCACCCTGTGATGGGAGAGCTACCCACCCTGTGATGGCAGAGCTACCCACCCTGTGATGGGAGAGCTACCCACCCTGTGATGGGAGAGCTACCCACCCTGTGATGGCAGAGCTACCCACCCTGTGATGGCAGAGCTACCCACCCTGTGATGGCAGAGCTACCCACCCTGTGATGGGAGAGCTACCCACCCTGTGATGGGAGAGCTACCCACCCTGTGATGGGAGAGCTACCCACCCTGTGATGGCAGAGCTACCCACCCTGTGATGGCAGAGCTACCCACCCTGTGATGGCAGAGCTACCCACCCTGTGATGGCAGAGCTACCCACCCTGTGATGGCAGAGCTACCCACCCTGTGATGGGAGAGCTACCTACCCTGCTGGAACTGTTCAAGCACCATCTGGAGGTTGGCGAGAGAGGCAGCATACTGCTGGCACTGATCCTGCATGGCCGTCATCTGCATGTAGGCTGCGTCCCGTTGACTGGTCACCCCTTGCAGCTGATGCTGCAACGTCTCCACCTGCTCAATGGCTGCTTGGCTAAAGAAGGACAAGATGGTAGATTCATATAGTCAAGAAGGCAAGTCAATGGTCACCTTCATCTGTCAATATTTGTTGTCAAATCTCAAATTATAGTTTCTGTTGTTGACGCTGCACTCAGCTTGATAACAGCTCTGTGATGTTGGCCTGTAAATAATCAAGTCTGAACCAGACAAACCAATGGCTGACATAATGAACACTAGATGTTGGCGTGCAGTAACAAGTAATCAACCAAGCTTCCTGGTCTGAACAAATTATTCCTTTAGTTATTGCACAACCATCACAGATAGCGTGTGACTTAGTACAAAGCCATTAGTGATTCCAGGTATGACTAAGTACATGTGTATGTGTGTCTATAGAAATGTCTCACCTGGCACTCTGCACTGCAGAGCTGGATGATAGGATCTTCTCCTCAGCCACAGCAAGCCTGTTCCTCAACTCCTTCTCTCTCTCCTCGGCTTCCAGAGCTTCCCCAGTGTAGCCCTCCTCAATCTGCAATACATACCATATCCGATTAATACATCTTTGACCCAACTTTCAACAACCAAGTGTAGATGTGATGACATACTACTCAACAAAAAGTTTAGGTCCACCTGATTCTTTCCTATTAATAGGTAATCACTTCAGCCATGACATATTGCCTATACTAATATGAAATCCAAGGTATTTATCGTTTTTGTGTAGTATATTTAGCTTGACATTATATACAGTGAGTATGACATGCTGAATGGGCTTCAGACATTTTACCGATGTGGAATTAATCTTAGCATTGCCAACAGTGCCCCCTGTGTGCCCTGAAGGTTTACCTGAAGCAAGTGCTGCCTCAGTCTCTCCAGTTCCCGACTCAGTTTCATTTCTTTCTCTTTCAGACGGGTGATCTGCAATACAGATATACAGGCTATTAGAACTCTCTTGCAAATCTATTTCACGTATCTCCAAAATATATTTCTGAAACATAATTAGGCTAATACATCAAAATAACTATGTGAAAATGATGAAATACATAAAATACTTCATGTACCTTGGGTACATTCAGTATCTCCTTGCTATTCTCCAGGAAGTCCAATCTTATTTTTAGATTGTCTTACACAGATTGGCTATACAGAGTTACGCCCTTTGGTCATGCCAGAATCCTATCATTGAGTGTTCGATGTTTCTTGGTTAGTCAGCACCATATCTGTGCTCAAGGATTTTACGACATGAATCACCCTGTACTGTAATCACACATTAAACTCTGTACTGTAATCACACATTAAACTCTGGAAAGCCATGATGTGTCACTCTGTGCTCAAGGATTTTACTGACATGAATACTGTTAATAACAGTAAACTCTGTTTATAACAGTTTTGAACCCAATTCACTCAATCGTTTCTATGCCAAGGTCTCACCTCTTTATTGAGCTCCTCCACATCAGAGTGTTTCTGCTGGAAAGCCATGATGGCCTGGTCCCTCTCCTGCTGGTACTGAACTGTCTGCTGATGTAGCGAGGCGTTCTCCTGGACAAGGTGGTCAACCTGCCCCTTCTCACCCTGCTGCTGCTGTAGTAGTGTCGTCAACGTCCCCGTCTTCTCTCGCAGGCTCGTTAACTCAAACTCCTTCTCTCTCAGAGACAATGTCAACTGATTATTGGAATCTTTCAAAACCTGCAGTTCTGAATCTATTTCAGAGGATTTCTGTTGTGTGGATACCCTTTCAGTTTTGAAGTCATGGAGCTCTGTTTGCAAGCCATGAAGCTGAAATGTTAAATTATCAGCTTGCTTTTTAAAACTAGTCCTCTCAGCTTCTTTACTTGACACAACACTTTCCAATTCATGAATCTTCGAAGACAATCCCTGAATCTTCTGATCCCGATCATTAACTTCCTGTTGCAATTCTGATATCCTGTCCTGACTTTTCTGGAGCTCAACCTCCTTGGTATTATATGTTGCCATGTCAACAGTTTCACTCATGTTGGATCTTCCTAACAACTCCCCATATTTAATTTCTAATTCATTATATTTCTGTTTATAATTTAAAAGTTCATTTTGTGTTTTAAGAAGAGTCTGTGTTTTATCTTCAAACTGAGGAACTAGATTAGTATAGTTGCGATTTAGAGTTTCAAACTGTTCGGTCTGCGTGGACACCAATGCAGTGAGTCTCTGAATTTCATTATGATACGTCACACTCTCCTGATGTTTTTGGTTGAGGTAGGTGATCATCTGTTCTCGCTCAGCCTGAAAAGTCATCACCTGTTTGCTTAGGTTATCTTTGTCCTGGAGGAGAGAATTGATCTGTGACCCTTGTGTTTCCTGAGAAGAGTCTTGTAGCACAGCCAGGAGTGTGTCATTTTTCTGTTTCAGTGCCTCAATCTCTAATTCCCGATCACGAACGAGACGAGACAAGTTCTGCAATGCCTCCCTCTGCATGTCATCAACAGGATTCTCCCTGTTCTGAAGCTGGTTGTTATCCTCCTGCAGCTTGTTCAGGGCGCTCCTCTCCGCAGACACGACACTCATCAACCGATGCACCTCAGCTTTCAGTGAACTTGACTCTCGGGATTTCTCAGTCATCACTGCCATAATCTGTTCTCGCTCCATCTTCAGAGCCTTGACCTCATTTTCCAGCTTATGCACACTGACCAACGTTTTATCCCCATGCGATGTAAGGGACTTGGCCTCCAGCATCGTCAGTAATGAGGCATTATTGCTCTGAAGTTCTTGAATCACTAGATCCTTCTCTTGCAGACGGAGCTGAAGTTCACCAATATCCTTTGAAATCATCTCAATCTTGTCGGATGTGTCATGATCAAAATCATCCTTATCTAAACTTTCTTGTTTATCCATCTTCCTTGATGGTGGAGTGTATTCTATTGCTGCCTTCTCTGGGTATTCAAGAGCAGGGAGGACAGGGTGACATTGAGAAACATCTTCTTCACTGAACAACTGCAGCTTATTAGCATCCACTAGGGATGAGGCTCTTGTCAACTTGTTTTTCAAATCTGCTATTTCTTCTTCCTTTTCTGAAGATTTCTCTTGTAGAATCAAAATTAAATCATCCTGTCTAGCAAGCTTTGTTCTTTCTTCTTCAATTTCCCTAATATGCAATTCATGTTTTTCATTTAACTGAGTAATTCCTGCCTTGTGATCATTGATCAATGACTCCTGAGCATAGACAGTTTCCTCTAACTGAGATATTTTGTCTTTACATGAAGCAAGCTCTTTCTCCAGCTCAGTGATAATCTCCAGTGTCTTCAGCTGATCCATGTCATCAGGCTTCTGCTGTTCCATGTTCATCTTATTCACCTCAATTTCTGTTCTTAATCTCTGAATCTCCTCCTTCGAAGCAGCGAGGAGTTTCTCCATACCCTTCATACTCTCCATGAGCACTTCCTGTTCCTTCAGATGAGCACACAACTCCTCATATTTAGAATTTAACTCAATATTTGCTGACTTCAGTGAAGAAATTTCATCATCTTTCTCTTTCAAAATAGAAGTCAGCTGCTCATGACTATCGACAGAGGTGTGCATTGTGTCCTTAGTCATTTCCAGTTCTGATTGTAAAGAGTTAATCTGAGACTGCAGTTCACTGATTGCAAGCTCCTTCTCATGACAAGTCTGCATCATGGCCTGATGATCTTGCTGTAAAGCTGAGGCATCTTTGTCTTGGCTGTTCTGCAGTTCCTGGATGTAATGCTCATAATGTTTTGTCTGAGAATGAAGTTTGTCCTCCAACTGACTTATCTCCTTCTCAAGATTTACCTTGTCTAAAGTCACAGCATCAAACTGAGTCTCCAACACTGATATTCTGTCATGCAGAGCTTGAGATGCCTGGCGCATACTTTCTTTCTTTTGAACTTCAAACTGTTCAGTTTGAGCAGACAATCTCTGATTCTCAGCCAAAAGCTGAGAAATTCTAGTCTTTTCATGCTCATAGGCTGTAAAATACTCCTCAAGTTTTGATTTCAGTTCAGAGTTTTCATTTCCCAGTTCCTCAATCTCTTTATTCCCAGCCTCCTTCTGGAGTACCTGAGTTTGTTCGTTCCTCTCCTGCCAGTCCTCAATCTCGTCCTCTGCTTCCTGCAACCTCTCCCTGAGGTCCTTATTCTCCTCCACCAGGCGGGTGTGATCCTCTCTCATCTCCTTCAACTTGGACACCTTCCCTGTAATCTCCTGTTTCACTTTTCCCAGCTGCTCCTGAAGCTCACGCTTGTCCATATGCAGATCATTAACTGCCACTGCAGCATTCTGACACTTTTCCTTCAAATCTTGAATCTCCTTTTCTTTATCCGACTCCATCTTCTCCAGCTTGGACCGGAGCTCCTCGACCAGGCCCTCATCCAAACCTTCAGCAGCATCAGTCTGGTCCTGTGATGATGAAGCAACCTTTTCAATCTGAGCCCGGGACTGATCCAGTTCTTCACTGAGTTGTGCTATCTCTGTATCCTTCTCTGAAAGACTAGTGTTTAGTGTGTCCACCTGTTTGGAGAGGTCGTCCCGAATACTGATGAGTTTGTCCATGGCTTGCTGATGTTGCTGGTCCAGCTCCTCCAGACTGGACTCCAAGTCCAGCTTCTCCTCTTCCATGGCTTTCATCTCCACCTCATGCTGCTGGAGTCTCTGTTCTAGATGCTGCTGCAGAGGAGATGCTAGAAAACAAGGTCAAAGTGCTGTTACAACCAGTCAAAACTGATACACAATCCATATACGTTTCAATGTAATTGTTGCCTACTAAACGTCTGATTTATTTCTTTATTCATAACCAAAGTCAATAATAATCTAGCAGTATCACAGACCTGTATATGATCTATTCACAGACAGCTTCACACATACACTCTCTCAACCAAGCCACTGGGCCTGACTAACCGATTCATTTTGTCACCTCTTAAAACACACAACCGCCTCCGTGGTGTAGTGGTTTGAGCGTCCACCCGGAGAGTGGAAGGTCGCGGGTTCGATCCCCGACCACGTCATACCAAAAGAGGTTAAAATTTGGTACTAATTCGGCATTAATGGGTACAATAAGGACCAGCTTAAGTCTGGGCTAGTACAAGCAGCCGCACATACACATACACATGCATGCATGTACGTCGTCATATGAGTGAAATATTCTCAAGCACGATGTTTACTAGGTATCCATTCTAAACCAGAATTTCCATCGACTCAACACTTCTGATACTGTCACTCATTAGTAGATGTAAATGTCTCTGATCCTATCATTATCAAACACTGATTTTAAGACAATACTATTACATCACCACCTTCTCATATCACAAGAGCTTTGACTCAAAAGTCTAGGCTAAACAAGAAGAGTCCTAAATTTGTTCAGTGCAATAGGTCCTGACTGTTTAAGAGTTCAGAGTGAGTGAGTGTGTATGGTTTAGCACCACTTTTAGCAACATTCCAGCAATATCACAGCGGTGAACACCAGAAATGAGCTTCACACATTGTACCCATGTGGGGAATCGAACCTGGGTCTTCGGTGTGATGAGCAAACACTTTAACCACAAGGCTACCCCACTGCCCTTAAGAGTTCAGAAATATACTATCTAATGAAACAATGGCAAGGATGTAAATACTTGGCTAAACAGTCATACCTTGCTTTTCACTTTGTAGCGACTTCTCCAAAGTGGACATATTGTTTTCTAAAAGTTTGACCTTTTCTTCAAGGGCAGCCTGAAAAACAAGTACAAGATTGAAAACAACAAAAGCAGCATTTGTGCCACACATAACGGTCAAATCCAATCAAAAGATAACAAACCTGTCAGTATGGCTGACCAGTTTTCAGAAATATTTATTGATTAAAGAAGAATTACATGAAAATTTCATAAATTATTTTCCCTCTTCCTCGATTTACTTGTAATACTATTCTTAAGCACGATGGATGCAATGTCATAGTAAAGCAGTTCTAAGAGGATCTTCTCACCTTGTCAGCCTCAAGCTGATCACGCTCCTCCTCAAGCTGCAGGTTGGCATCACTCAATTTTTGAGCCTGGACAGCAAATGTCTCAATGTCAGCCTCTAGAGTTGTCTCCCCTGTCTGCAGTAGATCCTGGTGTTCTGCCACAATTGTTTCCTCAACTACTTCTCCCGCCTGGGGAGTTCAAGCACAGCAATGAGATACAATAGCATAGGTTTCACAGGGAATGTAGCATCATTCTGAAATACCTCAACATATATTTGATGGAATTTACAACTCTCAATTCATTATAGCATACTACCACAAAACCAGTACTGGTAACAGACAGTTGATCAATCATAGTTACATCATTTGTAAAGGTAAAATAAGTTGATTTTCAGACCGACTGACTGATTGACTTTGGTTTTACGCCGCTTTTAGCAATATTCCAGCAACATCACGGTGGGGGACACCAGAAATGGGCTTCACACATTGTACCCATGTGGGGATTCGAACCCGGGTCTATGGCGTGACGAGCCAACGTTTTTTTACCACTTGGCTACCTTGATTATCAGAAGATTAACTGACTCTTCTCTTCTTATCATCATTACTTTCCACAGCATTTGGAAGAATATGAAGGTGAGATCTTTGATAATTACCTGAGTTCTTTCTATTGCCTTGGATTTCTTCTCCTGTCGTTTCACCTCAGCAAGACCCTGGCATATAAATAGTTCAAATGAATAAACAATTGTTCAGATGCTCGAATATTACCAATGGGGCCTGAAAGTGAAGGGTCCTTGTTATAACCATAAAGGTAGACTGTAAAAATTGGGGGGACACTGCGTTCAAAAGCCACAAGACCCCAAACCTCAAGGGGTGAAACCCACATCAGTTTCAAACAAGATCTGTTATGAATCCTTTTCTCCATGTAAAAGTACTTATGGAGACACTTCAATATTTTGTGTTCACCAGTAAATCAACCTAGGTGTGAAAGCGCCCAAATTCATATTGTAGATTTGCATCCCTTGGGCATGTCCGAAACCAATGATGATGTTTTTGAATTGGGTCTGCCAATAGTGTTTCTCGGTTTGTCATCACCATACTAATGCTCCTAGCTTCCCTAAGCTGTGAAATACACCTACATCATTTCTAGCTTTCATCCCACATGAAGCCAACTGGCTGTGATATAAATGGAATACTGGCTGACGGGCTGAGTATGGTTTTACACCGTTTTTAGCAATATTCCAGCAATATCACGGCTGGGGACGCCAGAAATGGGCTTCACAAGTTGTACCCATGTGGGGAATCGAACGCGGGCCTTCGGCGTGACGAGCAAACGCTTTAACCACTAGGCTACCCCACCGCCCCCAAATGGAATACTTGTACAAATGGCATCAAAGCCAACTCATTCACACCACTGACAATTCTCACCTTCTCTGCAAGTGCTATGTTGAGCTCCCTCTCCCGTTCCTGAAGCTGTTTACGCAGCTGTAGTAAGACTTCTTCCAGAGATTCTTTCTCCAGCTGCCAATCAGACTTCACAAATTCAAACTGGTCAATGTCCGTTTTGTATTTGTCAACCTCTGTCTGGAGCTGTTCGACCTTGAGGTCAAGTTCACGATTCCTGCGTGAGAGTTCAGATATGTCGCTGCCATCAACTGTCCTGTGTAATGACATTAAACACCATCACCATATGCAGTGGGTATAAAAAAGCCACATCACCCCCTGATTATACTGTACATCACATCAGGAAAGGGCTTCATGCAAGTTTACAGAAGCAAAACAAAAAATGCTATCCCGTGATTCATTCAAGCTAATCAGTAACATGAATAATATTTGCACTGATTTGAAATTCCTTTAAAATTCATTGAAAGCTATGCATGCATTAATTCAAAGACAAATTATAGCTAGGACTATCATTGTGAGAAATCATAAAAGAAAGAAAATGAACATTTGTACAAAATGTCACAACTGCTAGAATACTGTTAATATACTTCCCAAAATAAGTTATAGAACACCTGACTTTTCATTTGACTATAGTTACTCTGCCATGGCTGGTGGGTATGTAAAATACAGCCTTCCAATTGTGGGTGTTCCTCTACTTGTTTTGAGCAGTATACATGTGGCTATAAAGTGGGAGTGTAAAATGTGAAAATAGGTGTGAATGTGAAGCTATAAAAACAAAAAGCTTGAGAGATTACTATTAGGCAGTTACATGTCAAATGATGGTTTCAGCAGCCACTTTTACTCAAAGTGAATAAGTCACTCAATTAATTTCCCATGAATGTTTCAGAAACATAAAGCCCAAATTAAATGCAGTTATGCAGGGTTGCTATAGTGATGAAAGAGTTGAGGAGAAGCAACACTGTTCTTAATTTATCTCACCTGACACTACCAGTGGAGAGACTGTCATTGAGGGTTGATATAGAACTGGATTCATCCACATCTAGAAAAAAGGGGTAAGATATAATATCTGCGAATAGAACATTTAATTTTAAAATCATTCATCGACCTATAAACCATGAGTTACAATCATCACAGAATCAAGACCATATGCAGGCTGAAACAGGGGAGATAACTCAAACTGACCCTCTTTCAGCTGCCCCTTCAGCCTGGAGATTGTTCCCTCACATTGGATCCTTTCCTGGGCTTGTGTGCTTGCTGCCCGCTCTAACAGAGTTATCTGTTCTTGGAACTTGAGATTCTGTTCTTTCAGGTACAGATTTTCTTTCTCAAGTGATCCAAGAAGCTCTAAAAAAGGCAAAAATATCATCACTACCATATAAATTTATTCATATTAAATTAACAAGACGATGCACTAACATTGCCTACTGACTTTTCTTGAAAAATATTCTCCAGTTGTGTACAGAGGTGTGGACATAAGACATTCTGCAACACTGAGCTTGGATGTCTGTGTCCCGAAAACATAGACATTGCCTTCCGAATTGCATTTATGTGTACTCGTAACCTCACTCAATAATAATCAGATGATCATACAAACTTGTGAAAATCATTATTTTATGTCATGCATATCATTGAGATAGATATAGTTTTAACAAAACTTTCAAAACTGAATATGTTGTAGATGAAATCTTCGGTCCCTGTAGACTTGTGAAGAGGCCATGAATTACCTGCTGTGAGCTGCTGATGGCCGGGGACTGCCCAGAGACTCTACAATGGCAGCTGCCTCAGTGGTCAAGTGGGTACTGAGAGACTTGGCTTCCACCAGAGTAGACTTCACCTGCCCTTGCTGTGCAGACGTCAACAGCCATTAGATGTACAGTAGTGGAGGGAAACATCATAAACTTACATTTATTGTGGAGTAACATACTTCTCCAACTGTAATTATAATTCTTTTATAGAAACACCTATCATCACATCTCTGTTTATGGAAGAGACATTAATATTGTACAGTGCAACCAGGCTGGGAATCAAGCCATGTTCTGAAATAAGCAGATGCACTACCACAAGTCTTCCCAAACCAGCTGATTCCTACAGCAATCATCATTGACTCAGCAGCCATTTGTGCTATTGGTTTAAACATAGTTTACATAGATAATTTGTACACTGCATCTATTGTTGCATGTAGCTAACCTTCTGCCCCAAGACATAGATCTGATTGGCTAGTTTCTGCTTCTCATTCAGCAGACGGTTGCGTCTGCCCACACTGTCATTGTCCATCTGGTGGCGTACATGCCGCAAGTCACTTAATATCTCTAAAGCATCAGCCTGGAATGGGGGCATTCATTCATTGAATTAAAAAAAGATATTGCTTCAAGCTTCATCATCAGACAATTTAGTTACTTCATGAATTCTCATTCTACCAGTATTTATGATTAAACTTAAACCATGAATTGCTAACGATCAATTGTAATATTTTCATATGTGTTTCTGATACAAAAAACAAAGACTCATATTGAAACATAAAAGGATTTAAAAAATTCAACACAAACAATATGAGGTATAACTTTCTTTCATTAATTTTTCTAATGCCAATTTTATTTCAGTATTTATGCCACAGTCAATGTATGGCATGCAAAGAGGGGAGATAACTCACTGATCAACAGTGCAGACAGGCATGCTGCAACAGCAGTATCAGGTCATGTGTGAGGCAGAATGTACATGCAACAACGACTTTATCTTCTACATCAGAACACAGAAACTAACTATCACTACATTTACAGGGCTCTTGTTAGGCAGATCCAGATGCAAACCATGCTTCGTCTTCTTGTCAACAGTTAGTTCAGACTAACAACAGAAATACTGCAGTAAGTTTTGTCATTAACATTAGCTTCAGTCTGAGACTGCCTTACATACATTTCAAGCAAATCTCTGCATAACTACATGAAGGAAACTAGGAACAGCATCAAATCAGAGATGAGATACCATACAAAGGTGTATGGTCTCCGACCCAAAAAATTGATTTTGATGGGTGCAGTCCTAAAAATACTTTTTTTCCTAGACATAGCTTTCAGTACCAAACACAGTCTTATGAAAGTAGTACAATGAGTGAACAAAGCTCAAATATACGAATGCACTTAGTTCCATGCAAAAACGCAGTAAAACGCAGCTGGCATAGTTGCATGCAAAGTTAGTCAAGGGGAGACAACTGTCCAAGGGGAGATAAGTGCCTGCTGACAGTACATGGTTTGCATCCAGCTGCTCCAAGAGTCTCTGTTTCGCATCAAACAAAGATTGTCCAACCTGTCCCAGCTCTTTTTCCAGGGAACCTTTTTCTGAGAGGGCTTCTGAAATAAACAAACATGATAATTAACAACGTAGTCTTTTCAATACATGTTGTAATGTTTTTAGTCAAAGCTGATGTGGTTACACTTGAAATTATCTTCCACACACCACCTTCCTTGTGAACTTGAGTTATCATAATATAACTCAAATTTTTTTTAAAGGAAATATTCTTTGATTTCCAATGAAAATGCACATGTTTCTTCAACAAAACTTAATCTGAGAAACAACACCAAAACTCTCATCACTGAAGGGCTATTCTGACAAATTACACAGCTGACTCACGTTCAAGAGCTTCTTTCAACTGTACAACATCATCCCCATCAGCTTTCTTCAGAGTCTCCAGCTCAGCCCGCTGGTCTGCGACTGTTGAGTCCAGGAGCGTGATCTTCTCCACATAGCCATCTCTTTCATCCTGTAGCTTGCCCACCTCAGTCTGAAGTTCTTCCAACACTCCCTCAAGGTGGCGCTTTGCAGTCTCGATCTGGTATGTGTTATTAACAGATTTGTCTCAACACATCTCTAAACAGGTTTGTCGATCAAAATGAAAGTAGTAATAGTGAACCATAATTGTAATAATTATATTGGTTGTGACATGTCAACTTCATGTGGACCGATAGAAAAATGAATATAAGGAGAAACGATAATAAATCACGTAAAAAATAATATAAAAAGGTTAAGGACTCTTTCGATTATTATGTAATCTGACATGGCGTGAGCAGAAAATCAACCACCACTAAAATCCCTATTTCAATACATATAATAATCCCTCCCTTCTCTACCATGATATCCCACAACACCCTCATCTTGTTCTTCTCCGTATTGACCAGAGACAGCTGTGTGCAGCTCATGCAATACATATCATATCACACCACTCCTATGCTATAACACCCTACAAAACCCTCACCTTGTTCTTCTCTGTGTTGACCTTGGACAGCTGTGTGTGCAGCTGCTGCAGTTCACGTCTCAGGTCATCAACATCAGATTCGGAAGTGAGTCCAGGTCGGTCAGCCTCAGGCAGGTTGGAAGAGCCATGCCTCACACTGTCATTGTCCCGACCTGACATATATTTGATGTCATCATTCAGACTTGGATAGGAATATAATTTCAGGATAGGAATTTATTTTTGTGTGGTTCAGCTCAACAACTTATACACAAATTGCTGAAAATATCATTGAAATATGTTGGAAAAAATGTTGTTTGGTGTGAAAGGTTTTCATTGTTTCTATAAATAGGATGACTTAAGAAATAATGAACAATATTATTAACATTGAGATTTCTCAACACCTCTGCCATACAATGTAAAGTGAAAAAGCATGCATAGTGAGCTAATATTTATCACTCACTGTCACTCAGCTGTTGCTCAAGTGCTGCAATTTGTTTCTTTTGGTCAGCCACCTCCTGTTTGTGTTTTTTCTTAATGGCAGGCCATCTTGTCTGTGTGTACATCCTGAAGGGAGACAATTTCATGTTGCTGATGATCCCTAGCCTGTACCAGCTGATGTTCCAGTTCCTGCAATATCAGAGAATCAAATGAACTTAATCATAGATTTAAAAGTCTTGATTAAAAATTCTGTCATAAAATTGGTGTAACTGTTACATGGGGCATGTAATGTTCATTATCTTCTCAAGCGATTAAGCCAGCTTTACCAAGTAAAGATATATACTAGTATACAGTATTCGCTGCATAAAATAAATCCCCAGCCTTTAAAGGTAGGCACTGTGATAAAAGAAAGTGTGAGGAGTGTACAGCGCTGCAGAAGAGGCATAATTACCTGGTAACTATTATCTGAAAAGTTTTAGTTTCATCAATGTTTGAACTGAATTTGTATTATTTAACTTGGTTTTAAGAAGCATCCAATTTGTCATTTTTCCAAGTGCCTGGATAGACCAATTTGTAGTTTGTGTGAGCTGATAATCAATAAATTGATCTGTTTTATAATATTCATTGGCAAGCGAGTGTTAAAGACGGATTTAGAGCAAAAGTGATACACATGTAAAACAGGATTAACAGGAAAAGTACAACCCACCACTTGACTTCTTCCTTCAAAGTGCTGTGTGCGTCATCAAAAGAGAAAACAAACAAGATACTCTCTTTTCCCATGTCTGATTAGAGTTGGTCGATAAACTATGTTTAGGCCTTATCAGTTGTACTTCTTGATTATCTCTGCCACAATGCCAAGAAGCAGGCAAGTAAATTACAAAATGGTCCGATTAATCTCTAATATAAAAATCAGAATATTATTTTGCAAATATCTTTTGTATATCATTTTAGTCTTGTCCATGCCTCAAAACATTGCCTCATCAAACTAAAACTGCTTTTGAAACAAGAACCACTTGAAATAGACATACTTTCAATCAAAAGTGCTTATGGTTTGCAGGAAATGAGTACCCGATATGGTGTGAAAATAACAAACCTTCTAGCGCCTGTAGGCAGCGTGGGCTATATACTTTCCTGGGAATTGAAATTACAACTGGAAAGCATATGGATTTACACTTCAGGTAAGAAGTGAACCACATGCGACCAGATATATCTGGATAAATGTGGTATATGTTCAACAGTTCTTTTCCTTTGAGGGTAATGGTGACCATGTCCTGGGTCGGTTCCTCCATTACAACAAGGCAACATAGTAACATCTTGTTACAGTTCTCATCAGATAAGAACAAGTGTATACACATACCTTGGCTCTGTCGCGAAGCTGGATGATTTCAGCATTGCTGGCTTCAAACTGTTCATTGCTTGTCCCTCCTTGGCTCTGAAAGTAGACACCAGCTTGATATTAACAAAACACAGGATATAGCGATTAACGACATTGTTTTAGGATACTACTTGGCTTTTTTTTTCATGGTTTGAAAATCAAAATACATCATCCATTAATTACCTATTTTCTATACTACATTTGATCATATATGAAAGTTTTGCAATGACATGCTAGAGGTCAATGAGATCAAAATAAAAAAAACCATTGCAACTACTTCTACTTAAATCTTTATAAATCGTATAAGACAATGGTGTAAAATTCGTATTTCCCCAGTATGTTCATCCTGGAAGAAAGAGTTAAGTTTCAGAATACACTCTAGAAGTTGTCCAGGTGAGAATATTCACAGCAGGAATACAAGTGTGATGCAAGTCCCAACGAAACAACAGATCAATCACCAAAAGTAGACTCAGTAGATCGGATTACATCCAGGTCTGTATTAAACAATTAACTTTGACACTCGATGAGCAAAAGCTAATAATCAATTCCTGCTGCCTCAACCCAAGTCTCTAAGTGCACTGGAAAGTTGGCCAATCACACACATAGACAAGATGGCTGCCAGGTTTCAAATTAACCAATTAGAAAGGAGGTAGAGTGAAGGAGCACTCCATGAGAAAATGCACCTCATGAAATGAATGTCATGGTCTCCATACAGGTTTGTAAGCTGTCCCAATTTGTTGATATAAGTAGAATCTTTCATGGGTGGCACTGCGAAGAAAAGATCCACATAGTTCCGAAATCAAAGTCAAATAAAAGTCGTGAATATGAGAGCAATCGTTCAGCAAGCTTGGTGTCACTCTGAGAGTCGTACGAGACCTGTCCTTCCCACATTGAGGCCGGCACTAACGCCACGCCAACTCAAGATTGATAACCTTGCTTCAAAGTTGGAGCAAAATTCTTTCCAATCTTAGCAACATGGACGTCCGGCAAGATAAATGTGTCTACGTTTTGATCAGGTGCCCCTTATCATCCAAACAGATTCATGGAGGGATTAAGTTCTTTTATCAGCAGATAAGGCAAAAAGTGGGTTATATGGAGGACATGGGCGTTGTGGCACCCAGACACCACAGCGAGATAGGACACATACTTATGCAACAACCACTAGCAGCGAATCCCATGTCACCAACGTGTGACGACTTATCTCGAACCTCCTTGGACTTGATAAATATCCCAACAAAGAAAGTTTTAATACAAATGCTAAATAAGACTTGAAACTGCTGACACTTTGGTTGTCTTATTCGTGCACCAACGGCTAACATTCCAAAAATCACCAAATCATTAAAATGTATTAAATTATGACCATGCCTTATACATGCAAATTGACTTCTATTTATAATCTAAAGATGATGTAAAAGGGGAGGGGAGAGAAATTTTTATGGATGTAACAGGGGTGGAAACAACCCATTGCCTGACGCCCGAGTCCAGTGTTTTTTTCTGTCGGGCAAGCAAATTTGTATATCACACTGTACCGGTGTCCAGTTGATATTCCAATGTTAATTATGTTGTTTATTTAAAAAATCAACAAGAAAACAGCCGGTATTGTGGACAAATTATTAGGGCAAGTGATTTTACATGTGCCACTGTACCGGAGTACACTAACAATTTTAAAGTTATTTCCACCCCTGATGTAAACTCCTGAGGAATAGGTAAATTATGAAGGAGTAAGAATGAACCCCAAACACTGTGTTCCTCATAAGAAGAAGCTGACATCCATAAAATCCTACCCTTTAAATGTATCACTTCTAAATGCCATTCAAAGACTCAAACAGGGTGTTTCCATGCCAACAGCAGAAATTCTGCACCACTTGTACCCTCTAATATTAGAGTAAAATGTTATATTGGATAAAATAGTTTCACAAACAGCACAAGGAAAAGCTTAAACTCAGCCTAAAAAGTATCCAATTCTAATTCACAATTACGTCATGTATGAGATCAAGATGGACGTGCATTGCTTTGATCATGTGAATTCCAACAAACATAAAAAAACCTTCAAGTACAGTTGGTCTGTGACATGAAAACACAGAAATCCACGTGTACACTGAATGCTGAACATACACACCAGTCTTTCGCTCAACAAGTCATGGCATGAGCCTTTTGTATAAGCATTTGATCAGGACAATAATGGAAAGTCAAACAAATAGATCCTCAAGTCTCAATGTTAATCATTTATTTGGCTAATCACAATACTATACTCAGTATATAACCACTATTGATTACAAGAAACACCACTTTGACCCAGTCTAATCTACAGTACTACACTTCAAGGCACAATGCAAACAAGTCTTCAATACTCTGTAGAACATACAAAGTACACAACACATTTAAATATTTAACAATCAAACATGGTTTTAATAAATGTCACAGACAATGTGCAAGGTATTTTATTGACCCTAAAAGCTAATCAATTTGACAAAGGCTGCAATGACACAAGCAATTTGAAATCTGATAAAAAATTGTTTGCTCCCAAGCTATTATGATCACAATGCAAAATCTACATTTAATATATGAATCACCTATCATTTCAGGATCGAAACTGTGAAATTGACTGTACCAACTTCATCACAAGAAAAGCTAACAGAGACTAAATAAACACTGCGCTAATTTGTCGATCGCGTTGAATTACACGTGTGATGGTCGTGTTGCAACATGTCATAGTGTCGACGTAGTTCAGCTAATTCTCGGCGAGTCGATGCCGATTGTTTGTTCAGTGTTGGTGTGCTATCAAGGGGCCCTACACATTGGCTGGGGCATGGTTTATCTCCGTGGTTTCCTACATATTACAAACACGGCGGCCTGTCACCACACACACAAACTTAATGAAAGTAGGAGACACACCTTGCCAACGTTTGTGTCCAACTATGCTGTTATCACGAATCGTCCTAGTCATGTTTCTAAGCTACCCAGAGTTACAGGATAACACAGGTAATTACCTTACCTGCAAACACAGCATATGTCCAGCCACACAGGTGATAAGTGTTAAGTTTCTCCATGGGAGATAGGCACGTATTTGTGTTACAGAGATGGGACTTTTCCTCATTATAGTGCCAACAAGTGAGCATGTCTGTTACCACGGTATTCCACAAACCAAATTGCAACTGACAAAACATCAGTGTTACACTGAAATTCATTAATTTTGCAGCATGAAGTTTGACGTTATTGAAGAGTATTTTCAACAACAAAAAGGAAAAAAAAAAGAAAAGAAGTTCAAAATCTTGTTGAGAATAAACTACAATGTAGTTTTGATCAGCAAGGTCAAATCAAGATAGTGCTGTTAGATAGATATTATTATCCTTCCCTGCAAGGGGATACAGTTTATATCAAAAACCAGCAGAACAGAGAGAACAGCCTTGACAATGTGCATCTGCAGATGATGCATGTAAGTCTGGGCCATGATGAGAGAAACACAGAACTACCCTACTATATACCCGAACATCGGAGAGGTACCCCATCAATAATTAATATCTCTACTATACTCCATAAACAAACTTAAAGAACACCCAGTTCTGTCATATGACCAAAAACAATCTGTCATGCCATAAAAGATTAACTATACTATTCACACTTTGCTAAGGATCAAATCATTGATTGAAGAGAAAACTATGATGTGGGGTCTAATTTGGTTTAAATATCTAAGCTTATTGTAAGCATGGATCCTAGGTTTTAGTATGTCGCTGCATCTTGTGGATCCCATACCTGCTATTGACAGGTGTTGTGTACTTGTCAATGACTCGTTCCATGATTTGCAAAATGGTTGATTGGTGCCAGTTTTATGGATACTCATGTATCAAGTGCATAAGGTTAGCTTAAAGTGACTGTTTGCCTAAAGAGGGGTTATTTATCCAGTTTTAAATGGATACAATTTCAAATTATAAATCTATGTTTAAGTAAATTTGGGAATTTTTGTGATCCTTAGCAAAGTGTGAGTAGTATATGTATCAGACATTACAGATTACCATCATGTATACACTAACATGAAAGAAATTATATCCATATATCCATTTTCGAACAAATCAGAAAAATAAAACAACTGATGTAAATCCATATTCAGTGGTCTACCCATAATCATAAATATGGCTGAAGACTTAAAGGAAGATACCCTTATCACAATGATGTCAAAGGACTTGATTCCAGCACATGTATACGAGTAAAGCTGGTGGAGCCTGTGTGTGATGATACTGTGTAAACTGCACTGACACTGTTAGAGACATGTGTTCATGTGACTGTGGGAACATTGCCACACCCACCATCTGTGACACATGTAGTGAGCTACACCAACAACTGTAACAAAGTCCAGGATGCTGTATCAATAATATGGACAATATGCCGGGGCGTGGACATGGATCCACAAAACATCCTCACGGAATTTGGCACATCTTGTGAATTTCACATTCATGTGGCCGAAGTCAACTAGGTGCAAGAGTAGATCAGATGAAGCAGAATACAGATGTCCTGTTCCGTGAAGCATTTTTAGCACTATGATTAGTGAGATTACTTAAAGTTATGGAAGTTACGATCACCTCACTTTAATTCCTGGATCAGGGGCCTGTTAAGAAGATGTTCATCCACAGTTAGTAAATTCTGGGGTGGGGTAGTCTAATGGTGGGGTAGTCTAGTGGTTAAAGTGTCCGCTCAACACAGTGAAGACCCGAGTTCAATTCCCCACATGGGTACAATGTGTGTTTCCCCGCCGTGATATTGCTGGAATATTGCTACAAGCATCATAAAACCATACCCACTCACTGGTGAGGTGAGGTGAAATTGGGTTTAACGTCGTGCTTGAGAATATTTCGCTCGTGCATGCGTGTGTATGTGTATGTGTGGCTGCTTGTACTAGCCCAGACTTAAGCTGGTTTTATAGTGCTAGCCCACTGAGATACCATGCCGCAGTGAAGCATGAATACCCCACTCAGACACATTATACTGACTCCGAGCCGACCAGTCCTTGTTGTACCCAATAATGCTGAGCGCCAGGCAGGGACCAACAAGTACCATATTTTAACGTCTGTTGGTATGACGCGGTCGGGGATCAAACCCGCGACCTTCCGCTCTCCGGGCGGACGCTCTAACCACTACACCATGGAGGCGGTCCCACTCACTGGTAAATTCTATGTTAAAGTAAATGATATTGATAGGAATTGAACCTGGACCACACAAATCAGTGATTGACAGTTTGATAGAAACAAAGCAGTTCAGAAGGTGAAATGCTGTGCATTGAGCGAGTTTAATTTTTCTTCATTCATTAGTTATCAAAAACAGACAATTTACATACAGGCAATGGGAGCCAATTTGGTCTGAAGGATCCACAAGCAGTGGTATATATAGTCCATCTTAAGACATAGTGGGATGGATGAAATAAGTTGACTAATAATTTCTAACTACTGGTTCTGATAAAAGAAGTTTTTTCAGATTTTGTTCAGTTTCTGGACTTGGTGACCAGAGGCTAAACCTTGCTGAACTAATCCGATAGACATATTTCGACAGTGTTATATGAGTAAGTGAGTCTACTTTTACACCCCTTTTAGCAATATTCCAGCAATATCACGGCGATGGACACTAGAAAGGGGCTTCATACATTGTACCCATGTGGGAATTGAACCTGGATCTTCGATGTGACGAGCAAACGCCTGAACCACAAGGCTACGCCACCACACCAGCGTATATGAAAAATGTAAGCAATCATCCAGTACACTGCAAACCACACGAAAGGGTATAACAAACTGACAATGATATTCAGGCAAGCTGGACCAGACTAAACAACTAACCAGTTGTCCTGCTACTGATTTCCAGTGTTGAGCCTCAGTCTGGAGTCGTGTGGCCTCCTGACGCAGCCTGTTGATTTCATGCTGGAGGCTGATATTGTCACCAAGGTCCCATTCAGATCCACTGACACCTTCGGAAAATCCTGGAAAATACAAAGAAAAACATGAAATATTCGATGGAATGAATGAATGAGTGAATCAGATTGAAGGTTTGACCAGTATTTCAGGTGTATAGGACCATCTGATTCTTCCCTTTTCTTATAGTTTATCTGTCATGGCATGTCTCTCTAGAAGTATTCAAGTGTGAGCATGAGAGGAATGTTGAGTGATGCAGGCCTCCAATGTTTTCAGTCGGTGAAATCACAAAGCATGGGTGAGGTGGTGGCAAAACCAGAAAAAGATGAACTGCAATAAACTGGAATGAACTAGAATCCCCGGATAAATGTTCTCCTTTCGTTGATATTTACAAACACATAATCAGTAACTGGGTTTGGAATGTTGAAGCATTTTATAGCCTTGGTTGAAGCAATAATGTAAACGGTGATGAATGTAAGAGTGAGTGAGTAGGAAGCTTTCACTGCTTTTAGCAATATTCCAACAATATCACATTAAAAACCTATATGGGAACTGAACCCAGATCTATGAAGTATACTACCCTGTTGAATGAAGAAGTACAGTAAAGAGTTGAATGTTGACAATGAATAGGGGCAGTGGAGCCCAGTGGTTAAAGCTTTCACTCGTCCCGCATAAACCAAGGTTTGAATCCCAAAATCGGTACAATGTGTGAAGCCCATTTCTGGGTGTCCCATGACGTGATATTGCTGGAATATTGCTAAAAGCAACATGTGTAGTATACACAAAATAAGGATCTCTACTCAGTAAAATTCACACAGCCAGGCCACTAAGGCATCTGCAGAGTTACCTGCCCTTGCTGGTAATAATAAGCCCAAAATACTGGACATTTGTATTTTAAAATGACTCAAGCAGAAATTAGAATCAGAAGATAGAATAATGAATATATTTTGATCAACAAATTTACATCTGTCTGACATAGATTAATATAAATGTATAAAACCTTTCGTGGCCCAAATTACCCACACTACCAACATGGTTTTGACCTACAACTACAATACATGGACTTACTTACCAATCTCTAAAGATTAAACACCTGCAGAAAAACCTACTTAAATAGGACGACCTTATTTCAGAGCACTGACATTATATTTTCAGCCTCAGTGCAATAATAGAGATATGACTGGACATAATATATTTCTCCTAAAGCAGACCTGATAAAATATACCTAATGTATCCCGATCATTGAACAACATATCCCACATTCCCAACGTAACTCTACATAAAGTCAGTCCGGTCTAGACACACATGTAGGAAATGACGTTAAGTCAAGTAAAAATTTACCAGAAATAGTAAGTATGACAAGCTTGTAGCCTGGCACGAGGAGACTGAAGTCTGAGTGGAGCTACATGTACTAGGACACATGGTATGTCATCGAAAACAGAGGCTGTAAACTTTTATGATTTCAGAACGGACAGATGTGGCCACTTATGATTATCAGCAAACATTCACTTGTTTGCCATGTGACCAACACATCGTGTGGCAGACGCGTAAATATGAAACTGTGATCCCACCATGTATGGTAGCAGCAAAAGACTGTATAGTATAGATATTCAATTCCCGGCATAGTGACTGTATTGGGCATCATCTTACAAAGATGGCAGAGAATATCACCATATGTCACAAGGAATAATTTTTCTCACCCACATCATCGATAATATAAAGCCCTTTTTTAATAATCTTGTCAACCAAACTTGAACAACCTGCTACATGTTTTTTCTTGATTTCATATATGTGAGTGAACCTTCAAATTATCATAATACAGACAGCAACACGATAGTGCTGATGCCTATTCATTTTGAGCATTTCTTTATTGAGTTATATATGAATATGTTAACATACAGGTCTATATTATATTTTGTTAAATGTTAAAATTTGTTAAATGGTCTTAATTGGTTAAAATATACTAGCTCACCATAATGCTGGTTGCATGAATATTCTACTCAAGCCTCATACTTCATATTACTTAAATCTACTCTGTCACACTGACAGACTACATAGTGATATGAGACCGCCTCCATGGTGTAGTGGTTAGAGCGTCCGCCCAGAGAGCGGAAGGTCGCGGGTTCGATCCCCGACCGTGCCATACCAAAAGACGTTAAAATATGGTACTTGTTGGTCCCTGCCTGGCGCTCGGCATTAATGGGTACAACAAGGACTGGTCGGCTCGGAGTCAGTATAATGTGTCTGAGTGGGGTATTCATGCTTCACTGCGTCATATGAGCGAAATGTTCTCAAGCATGACGTTAAACCCACTTTCACCTCACCTCACATAGTGATATGAAAGAAATGGATGTTTCGAAAATCAGATACAGTAGGAAAAAATCAGAAACCAAATGACCAAAAATTCCTACACAATTTTACAAACAAATAGATTAAAAAAGTATACCCGGTAACTATCTAAATCATCCCATAAAAAACAACCACCGCTTTTGAATCCATAGTTTGGAATTACATGGCAACAGTTTGTTAAAACAAGCACAATGTTTCTACCTAAATCACTAGGGGTATGGAATCAAAGAATGACTACAAAGCAAAGAACCACAGTGGTTAATACAGTCTGATGGACACATTCAGAGGGAGCATGCCGGATACACCAATAGAACACATCAGCTTCTTTCACTCTTGCCACACACACAATAACATTAGTCATGCGGTATTCAGGACAACCGTTTGATGGAAGTGCGGGAACTGTTCTTTTCAACTCCCACACAATTTAATGCACAGCATGTAGCTTGTATCACATCAATTACTCAGTTTGTACATATGTCGCAGAGTGTCTGTCCTTGTCTTTAATTATACCTTCCACTAGTCATGGCAATTTCCATGAATGTACATTTACTGAATTACATCTATTTTGTTTAAATATTTATCTCTCCTTGCTTAAATTTCAAATTAAAATATTTGTAAAATCTACTTTAAAATTTTTACTTAATTTCCTCATCATGCAAAGGAAGAAGCATTATGTTAGTCTTTAAAGAATACATATTTTTAACAAATATTAATTTTTTTATGACTTTCCTACAATAATGAATATATTTTAATAAATTTCATTCCCCAGACTGATGTAAAAAATGAATGTTATCCCAGCAACCAGCATAGTATTTAAAACTACAAAAATATATTTATTTAACAAGATCAAAACTGTTAAAAAAACATCCATTATTAGAATATACAAACAAATAACATTTTTAATCCACATACCCGACACCTTTAAACCCAATGTGGCCAGACCAACCTGATTAAAACAAGCTGTGTATCCTGAAATACATATTGGCAGCAGTGTGGCAGGTTGTACTGCTCATCAGATTCAGCTCGACGCCACGTGGTGGAGGTTCACAATGACTTGCAGATTAATTCCCACATCAATAATCAATAGCAATATGTCAGTAGATAAGACTAGAACGACAAGCTATACCTGAGCAGGTGACTATCAACCAATTCCAGGTGGTAAGAGAAGGAGAGAGTACACATCCTTGCACATGGCCTCCATACAGTCCAAATAATGTGTATCATTATACCGACTAATCTTCGCCTGATGAAGACTTGAATACCAATCAGGAGACATTAACGCACGACAGCCCATTTGAATGCATGCACACATACTTGAATACTCTCCATATGGCAGAATGCATGGAGTCAGGGCTAGGTGTGAAAGCTTGAGGAAGCCGTGAATGAGACTGTGAATAGCAAGCGTCCTACCCTGACTGAGCAGTTCTTTGTGGCCATGCTTGCCCTGTGATGGTCTCAATCTGACTGGGTGTGTATTATGTCTTCCCTCTTCTCTCCACCCGGCTCCTGAATGGACCAACAACGTAATCTGGGCCAACTGATTTAAACCTCAAGTGTGTTGGTAGAGGGGTAAGAACGGACTTTGCCCGAGAGATAAGTGATTTGGGCGGGAAAATAGCAGACCACATGATCAGTAACCCCAGCCGCACCCTAAACCCTACCACCCTTTCCTCACTGCCAAGTGCACAGACTTTTGGAAGGATTTCTTATGTGTCAACATAAATGATTAATCATCGAGTAAACATTGATTGTATTTGCCAAAGTGACGGCTCCACTCAAAAGAGGGTATTGCGAGACCCGACAGTCCCTATGCTTCCTAGGCCAACAATATGTTGACAGATGAGCTTGTCTAAAGCTTTTCCGTTAGTTCTGCAGATTGTATATCCACACGCACCCCTATCCTTGGTAGGGTCAGGCATGGAGAGTGGGTCTGGCATGAAGTCTGGTTAGACTACCCTTGGTGGATCAGGCATAAGTCAGACTAATAGGGGGAGTCAGGCATTGATGGAGGGCACACTACCCAGGGTGGGTTAGGCTTAAAGTCTAGTCAGGATAATAGGGGAGTCAGGCATTGATGGAGGGCACACTACCCAGGGTGGGTTAGGCTTAAAGTCTAGTCAGGCTAATAGGGGGGAGTCAGGCATTGATGGAGGGCACACCACCCAGGGTGGGTTAGGCTTAAAGTCTAGTCAGGCTAATAGGGGAGTCAGGCATTGATGGAAGGCACACTACCCAGGGTGGGTTAGGCTTAAAGTCTAGTCAGACTAATAGGAGAGTCAGGCATTGATGAGGGCACACTACCCAGGGTGGGTTAGGAATAAAGTCTAGTCAGACTAATCAGAAGGGAGACAGAGGAGGGGCAGGCATGGAGAGTGGGGCACACTACCCAGGGTGGCTCAGGAATAAAGTGTAGACAGACTAAGAGGAGGGTCAGGCATGGAGAGTGGGGCACACTACCCAGGGTGGGTCAGGAATAAAGTGTAGACAGACTAAGAGGAGGGTCAGGCATGGAGAGTGGGGCACACTACCCAGGGTGGGTCAGGAATAAAGTGTAGTCAGACTAAGAAGGGGGTCAGGCATGGAGAGTGGGGCACACTACCCAGGGTGGGTCAGATGGAAGTATATTGTAAGCCCTTCATAGAAGAAATATGTAAGTAACTGAGTGAATGTGGTTTAGTTTTAGTCAGCATAAATAAATATGTTGTTGATGCATATAAAA